CATAATATGAACATAAGAAATAATGACGAGCAGATTTCTGTCTAAACAAGTTTAGAATATTTTGATGGTTTATTTGTACAATGTCTTGTCACTTCATTAGTTACGAAAGCAAACAATGTAATTAGTGAATCTGACTTGGAGGAAGAATTAGTTGAAATATGGGTAGATCTGAAATCTTAAGCCTTGTTAGAACGCATAACTACTACTGAACATTGGACCCATGTCAGTTCGTGAACCGAATATTCCAAGCTTAAAGCAGAAGCAACTTTTGCTTGCCAAATACCTTGCTGACGTTCTTCGGGCTGGGTCATTTCATTAATATCAAGTACATCGATAAATATGTAGAATATATATTTTTCATGGTTTTTTATAGAAAAATGTCGCTCATTTGAATGGTAGTTTATCATATTGATACATAGCATTCATAAATTATTGTTCATTTCAATTTCTCAACAATAAGTATTTGAAAATTTAGAAGATGTCAAAATTCTCTAAAGAGTGGTTATCTTTCTTCCATTTCTCTTTTACCTTATGTCAGCGAAGACAGCTTCTTTTACATAATATATCTCCACAAAATGGGTATATCAAAAGCTACGTTCGGTTTATGTCCTAATGACATTTCCTTTGATTATTATCATATAAAAAATCAATATTGGTTGGATATTTTTTCGTCTTTGTATGTATGCTGACGTAGGTGGTGACCGGGTATCATGACCGGGTGTCGATGGGAACAAATGCTGCTGACCTCTGGTTTAAACGATAGAGGTTCTAGGCAATGTAAATGAAACAATAAACATTTGAAGGAGTATTTGATGACGCCAATATCGCATTACTCATCGGTAATCAGAAATGACACTTGTTACGTTAATGGTAGCGTGCATCTGAGCGGGTTTCGCTTAGTATTCACAGCCATTCAGTACATTTGTTATCCTTCAGTAATGGTCTGTGGTTATTTCTCATTCAGCTAGACACGAGATTGATCCATATACATTACCTTGTACTCATGAGAGTGATGAGACCATCAAGTGAAGTGAGCTGCATGGTATATCTACAGCGCTGCTGTCATTCGGACAATCCATTCTGCATTCGGATTTCATCATTCTCATTTAAATATCTTTCAAACGGTAATAGATGTTTTTGTCCTTTTCATAAAATCAAATATACTGAAACCGAAAACTTCCTAGCTAATAAAATTCGCCGCAACGTTAAGTTAATATTACCTGCATCGTTGTTGACAGTCTTTGTTCCGGAACGCTCTCCTGTACAGCTAATTATGAAATGGTACTTTAATTAATTCACTTCGAAAAAATTCCATGAAGGATGTAAAACGTCGATTTCTCAGTTTTCAGACCGCTTTTTACTGCATGACAAGTGAATCTTAGCAATCACTTGGATAGTAAATACTACCATTTACTCAAGTCAAATGTAAATGGTAGAACTATTGGCTGATTGTTGATAATGAATAGCAAAAAGATTTAATCGGTATTAAGGAATTTCCGTACCTGGTTCCAGATCTAGGTCGGTTTAATTAAGAAAGATGCAACTACGTTGCAATAAACAGAGAGAGAGTGAGATGAGAGACTGCGAACTGCCAACAATTTTTCCAAACTGGAAGCAAATGATAAACGCAGTGTGTTTTAAGGCGAGCATGTCGGTAAAAAAACTTTTATTTACGGACGGATTATCATGAGACTTGGTAGACATATGTAAAATAGAAATCAATGATTTTTTCTTCATGTATGTTTTTCGAAAAATAAAGAAAACGTGAGGTTCATAGAAAACGGCAAAAGGGGGTACAGTACAAGAGTTACTATACTGTCTCCTGGAAATATAAAGGTACATCGAGGGACATCATCATTCGATGTACCTTAACCTGACTGAAAGCCGTGCGAAGTCTAAGAGCGAGGTTTTCGCGACCATCGTGTAAAATCCTTGATCTGTCCGAAGCTCAGCCTGTCGCTACCCTCGAGCTTGTACTCTTTGTAATATGATATCCTAGCCAGACCCTTTCTCGCGGTCACTGGTCGCTTTCAGGTGGCCGAGGAAGGCCAACGGTCGGCTATAACTAATTGGACTAGGCCGACCACTGGCCACGTATTATTCTTCGCCCCTCATTGACTTCGTCTTTACCATGCCACCTGTCGTGAACTGACAGTTCAGTAATTTACGACGTCTCTTTCCCCTCATGTATTCCACAACGCCTCCATTTGAGCAGCTAGTATGCGGGATTTTCCCTCCGCGTATCAGCAGGCTCGATCATAACTATTTTTCGGTCGAAAATATGTACAACAAAGAGGCTGATCAAGGAATGCCAAGTATACCATTCAATGGAGAATAAAAATTACAACCCTTTTATATCTCGAAAAAAGTAAAAAAGTCCCAGACTTGATGAACAATAATATTCAAAGTTGCTTGAAATTTCCTCTCATTAAAACTGTTTTAATACAAAGTTTACATATTTTTTGTTACTGATCACCGTTTATAAATAAATAGATGGGTAAGCATGGAAAAATCCATATCGCCATCTCATTTGCGAGTGGAGTAAAGTCTATCCTAATTAGTGAAGAAACGCTTAGGGAAGAGCCGAGCCTGTTAGAAGCCATGCGACCTTCAACCAGGGCCTTAAGCTGACCTAAGCTGGCCATGTGCAGGTGTTCGTGGCGCCGAATGATCATCCGGTTATTTTTCGAATTATTTTTTATTTTTATTCTATTTTTTCTGATTTTTCTTCAATGTTTACTCCTCTCCCCCCTTTTAACATTTTAATAAAAAAAAACAAATGAACGCAAAAACATAGCATTGAGCTCTTTCAATATATATTAAAGAGCTCCAAGAATATATATATTCTTCTTTTTATGACACAACGTCATATTCTCTCAAGTTTTTTGCCGAACCAACTTCACCTTGAAAATATCCACCCCGTAATAATATTTTTTAACAAACGTCGTTGCATACAAAGCATCTGTCCCTAATGATTACTCCTCAAATGATCTTATCAAATCCCGACATCATTAAAGTCTTTTATCAGACTTCAAAATTAATGGACTGCTGTCATTAGTTAGCTTTCTGCACTTGTACAAACACGTCTGAAGCTCGTACAATGAACGACGCTCTGCAAGGACGGAGCTGAACACGTCTGAGTCTTATCAACGTCTCGGACAAATTTACGGCCGGACTTGCGGCCGGTCTAACGCCCGGTCTTCAAATTCAGTGAACAAGGAATATCTCCCAAAGTGATGAACGTAGCTCGATAAAACTTGGCATCAGTCAAATTAAAGAGATGCCGATCGCATTTGCTGGGAATGCACCAGGAGGCCTTGCGTCCCGAATAACCACTACTACACCCCAATCCTTTCGTCCAGCCATTTCCATCTTCAGGCTCAATGAAGCAAAAGGCATTTTGAGGCAGAGGACGAGGTTCGGGGAAAGTCGACGATATTAGAAGCACCTCAGGAGGTATCCGACGTAGAACAATACCTCGCCTAGCTGGCCCGACACTTCCTTAAGCTAGCCTGTAAGCCTGTCAAGCTAATCATGTTGCGGTACCTTGTGGCATTTGAATATGTACAATTTGCTCCGATGCTCAGTACTAGAACTAGCTAAAGCAATTTGCACTAAACAAAAAATTTATCTAGTCCTCTGAACTAGGAGCAAATAGCCAGCCTCCACCTCCCCTCAAATTGTTTCAGGAGTGATTTACTCCTGGTCTTATTTGTTTAAATTCATTCGCATTTTGGATCCACGGATAATGATCTACTGGTTTGTTGTGAACGAAGCGGTAAGTGCGACGCTATTCAAGGAAACGTTGGTTTATTACGTGCGTTACCTTCACCATGGACAACCTGAATCTACAGGTTCAAGATCACAAAAATCTGGATTACTTTTTTTCAAATTGCAAAATTTTATCAAGTGTCCATGAGCAATTTCTTAAAAGGAATAAATTCGGCACCGGACATGCATGATTTGCTCCTAGCTCAGTGGACTAGATAAATTCCTTGTTTAGCGCAAATTCGCTTTTTTTCAAGTACTTTAACGAGCCATTGCCCACCGACACCCGACGCATAGAATTCCGGGCTGATGACGCCAACCATTAACTCGTGAGTTTGGACAAATTTTTTAATGAAACGCAGCTGGTTTTATGAATAACTTCAGTGAAGGAGTTATTAATTTAGGCCTTGTCATCGCAGCTTCTGTTTCTGAACGAGTAAGGTTATACAACTTGCTCCTTTTAACCTGCAATATTAACATCTTCAAAAATGATTCCGATGCATAATTTAATGGTGGTATTAAAAATTTAATTTAATAAATAAATTATAAATATATTAATTAATATATTAATTATTTATATATATATTAATTATAAATAAATTTATATTTAATAAATAATTTGCGACAAAAAATGTGCAAACTCGGAGCACCGGAACGGTATTGTAACCAAAAAAAATTGATTTTATTAGACTCCTTGAATTAGTTCATTACAACTATTTTTCGACAGTACATATCATTCGATTGTGGTCCAAGTAATATGATATGAATAAAATTCATCAAGACAATAAATGAGATAATAAGTCATTAATACTGTTCTCAACTATTATCATTTGCTCAAAATAAAATTAATGCAAAAAAATTGTTTTATAATTGCAAAAAATCGGTTTGAAATGCATGTAACTTGTATAAAATAAATCATCGGAAGAACAGTAAGTCATATGCTGGCAGAAAAGTTTCCAAAATCATATGACTAGACAACATTCTGTCCTTCAGATTTAAGCTTTGTATATTTAGAGGCAACAAAATTGATGATGATTCTGCCCGGATGTGTGCACAATACATCATTAATAACAGCCTCTGAGTGCATTTCTTAACACCTGTCCCAACATTTCCAAAGCCTATAACATGGCCACCACATGCCCACAATGCTTCAGGATCAAGCCGTACTTGCCTGCCTACGCACGCCCTGCCATCGCACCGCTGCCACGACCTGCCATCGCACCGCTGCCACGATCTGCCATCGCACCGCTGCCACGACCTGCCATCGCACCGCTGCCACGACCACAGAGAAAAGATGACGCGAGCTCTGATGCTTCTGATCGCCGCCGCCGCTGCCGCGTTCGCGGCGTAAGTGCTTTTGTTTAAAGCCGATAGACTATGTGATATTGACGAGATTTGAGATTGCATTTGTTATTCTTCATATGCATTAAATAGAATTTTATTTTATTTTAATTATTGATTCGAATGAAACATGGTAATTTTTTAGATAAATTAAATTCGTGTTATCCACTGTGATATACCGTAATCTAATCCTTCTAAACCATCATATTTAATCTGATTTCATTATTTTACAACCTGCGAATGTCGTAAAGTTAGATTCGTCATTTTTAAAAACAAATGATAAAACTTCGGAGTTAGCAGCAGTATTCAGGGCGTTGTTTTGAAGCTTCATATAGTGGCGTTTTGTGATTATTTTTTTCAAATGTCTGCTGCATTATTCTATTTGTGATTATGAATGCACTTTTCAATTTTTACACCAGCATTTTAATTTTTCCAGAGAACTTTCTCCTTGTAAACAAGAGTTGTTTACCGGATACTACTCATTTGACACCGGTCTTGCTGATCCGTGCTATGTGCAGAATAAAGCGGATGTGGACAAGTTTATAGGTAAGTGCGAAGAGAGTAATTGTGCATTAGTTTATTATTGTTAATCAGTTGTTCTCAACATTCATTTTTATGCAGTAAGCATGCATGTAAGCGAACCACCTCGGTTTGGAGTTTTTTTTTTGAAAATTTATTGAATTAAATATCTTTATGAATTGTCTATTTTATTTTTTTAACGAAAATTCAAGACTACAATAATTCTCACTTAGATTTTTCTGCATTTTTTTTCGCCAGGAAATTTAATCGTTAAAACATTTTTTTGACTTCCATGGGAGCTTATTGCCAGCTAAGGAGAATTAATTTAGGATCGGTTCTCTCGATATAAAATTTTTAGTTTCCTCGAAAATCAGCTTAACTCGATTCTATTTTATGTATACTTTCAAAATGTGTGCTGATGGAGAACTTCAAATCACTGTTATTGAGCCGTGAGGTGTATAGAGGACGACTCCACTTCCTCAAGAAGCAGACAAAACAACAACAAATCACTGTTAAGCAGCTTTGAGTGACGAATCGATTGGCATCAGCTAAGCTCATGATTTCTTGTCCTCAATTTACACTAACGATGATTTTTACTCGTCAGTTTCTGAATCTCAATTTTTTACTCAGTAATTGAGATTCAGCCTAAGACATTTTCATCACTGTATATATGATACGAATACTTCAAACACCGATCTTCTTTTCTCTCCAACAGAGACTACAGTTTGCTCGTACATGGATAAAGTGACTGGGTACGATGCTGCAACTTGTGATCCGCTGTTTTTCAATTACATGAAGTGCGCGTTGAAAAAACGCGGGCTTGTGAGTACCTAAGTTTATTTGCACACTGAGCACACCGTGCAGCAAATTAAGCAATTGCCCTGACATTAACGATCTCTTGCATAGGTTCGTTTTAAACCATATCTAACGTTCTGCTCAGGATCGCTTCAGGTTCTATCCTGGATTTTGAACATTGAATAAACAGCTAAAGCATTTTCATGAGTCCTTTTTTATTTAAATAACATTAGTTTTTTTCATAGGTATCTGCGAAATGCAAAAGAATATGACACATGCTTACATATGACACTTATGTAGGCCTTTTCGCTATTTTAACAGAGCCTATCATCCTGTGAGTATTTAGAGAGGCGACTGAAAAATAATCAGGATATTAAATATCATTACATTCGTAATGGGTGAAACTCCGATTTTTTGTTTGCATGAGGTATGGTCCTGTTTCGAAATCTCAGGAACTATAGCCTTTAGAATTTTAAACCTTTCAAGTTTGTTCGCTAGAATTGTTTATTTTTTGCTTTCTTTCTTGAAAATACCTCATAAAATGACACCATTGCGTCCCTGAATACATGAGTAATATTCACTTCTAATAAACAACCAGACATTCCATGCAGCATTCCTTTCTAGAAGGCAGTGTATGTTTTAACGTATGCACAAAGAAACATAGCTGTTGCTCGCTTTATTCCTGCGCTATAAATATTTTCTACACTATCCTTTTCTTAACAGCTGAATTCCAACAACACCTTGAAAGATAAGGCTTTCCAGACGATTGCGCTGAAGAACAAATGCAGCACTGATACCAACTTCTCAAAAGCTTACCCGAAATGCAAAAAATCCACCATGAAATATTTGAACGTAAGTCATAGAAATGTTCGTTTATTCAGGTAGCAAATGCGCTTAACATGTTTGTTTTAATAAATTTTACTAATTTTTATAGTAGATTTCAAAAATTATCAATAACAAGAGATTATTCGACAATGAATGTGTAATATATCATAAAAATGTAGCAGCTTAAACCGTGCATGATTGTAAAATCTCATGATTTATATTTTATGTTGCAGATTCTCAGGCTTTTTCTGTGTCTCTATGAGGCCATGCCTTAAACTGCTCACTCGATGGAAGAAAATCTACTGACTCGGAACAAGACTAACCGAACTCGCCTTCACTGCTCATGCTTTGAGTTTTCATCTCCCTTAAAATTATATATGAAATAATTATATATAATTATATATCATTATATATAATTTCTTGCCAGTAAATGAAAAGCTGTGCGAGCATCTATACTCCCTCTAACAATTTCTCGTCGAATGAAAATTCTAATTTTTCAAATTAAAAAAAAAGATTGAACATTTTCAGCACGTTATTTAGACACATTAGGTTGAGGATTATATTACACAATTTAAAATATTAAATGATTACCTCTATAACTTCTTCAACGAATCAAAAATGTTCGAGGACTGAAATGGACTACCATTTATTTAATTAAATATTCCTGCAGAACTTGTCGCACAATTTAAATATCCTGGGTGTTTCTAAATCTGTCGTGTATTTTTTCTGTAATTGCAATGGCATAGATATTTGTGTATTATTGACACGATTTGTACCAATTTATTGCATCGCAATAAAAAATCTAACGTAATAATGAAAGTCGTGAACATTCCCTTTAACACAAATGACTTGCTGACAATATGTCAACGCCCACTACCGAGAATGTCTAAATACGTTACCACTGAAAAAAGATTCTCTTCGTTTGTTCACACGGAGAGAAATGGGCAAATACCAACTCAAACATAATAGACGAGGGCGAGTCTGAACTACCACTGGAGGGTTGAATTACCATCGCCTGTAAAATCTTTCTCTAAACAGAATTGAAATTCTAGAGTTCACTAGACAAATGATGAAAACGTTTAATAGCTTATATTTCTACAACCCGTACTCGGAAGTGATCAGCTTAAACATAATTAGAGGAAGGCCTAGGATTCTTGTTGGAGACGAAGCTTTAGGGTAAATGCGAAGCTTTAGGGTAGACCGGATTTCAAAGAGTGCTGGCCTGGTAAGATGGCCCGTGTTGAGTCAAATTAAGCCGCAGGCTCCACGCCTGGTGGTGCCTTTCCGTCAATTCCTTTAAGTTTCAGCTTTGCAACCAGACTCCCCCCGGAACCCATAAACTCTGGTTTCCCGGTAGTGGGGAGCTGCCCGCCGAGCCCGTTAGATAGGGTGCTCACGCGGATAACCTAAAGGACACCTACAAAATTGACTAGAAGAAATTGATTACAGCTAGAAAACTAATGCTGGTTGGGAGAATTTGAGAGTAAGTGCATGATCCTAAAACAGAAACCATACAACAAACCGACAACATAGTCCATTCGTTTGTAAATTTCACGATATTAAAGAATTTATAATCCTAACACTAATGCATGTCACGACTTACCCTGGCATCATGGCGTTTAGTCAAAACAACTCAACATGGGAACCAGTGGGCGTGTCGGGATCAAGCAGCTGAAAAACTGACGCCTACCAAAAATTTCTTCCCCAATCTAAACTAGTCAAACGTAATCTTCGTCGTCTAAATGCAAGTAGGAAATTTGCAACCTAATAAATCACTGAGACGCTAAACTGCTTGGCTTAGAGTCCCCTATCAGCTTGACCGCCTACTTGAGAAGCTATTAGTAAAAAAGTTATTGGGTGGCCCCACTGGGCAGGGTGGCCCAGTGGTTACAGTTCAGAGGATCAGGATTGGAGCAGAGAGGTGCGGGTTTGATCCCAGCTCTGTGCGCCAGTTTCTGGTCAGAATCGGCAAGGAGGCCGGGCGGTTAAGCAAAGCAGAATTGTAGCAGTTCGAGACCGCAAGAAGCTGTGAATGTTCTGCTACGTTAGGAATCGGCCACAGGCCTACGGCCTAATAAACGCTGAAACCGCTATTATTATTATTATTTCTGATTTTCAATGACCATCAAATCTGTCTATCAAACTAAAACCCACCCGCTGAATTGTCCAGTATTTGCAACCTACCTGAAAAAAAGAGGAAACTTTCAACCAATTGCTTCTGGTCAACGGAGTTTGTGAATAGTTAATCGATAGTTTAATTAAAGAGGCTATTGAATTGTATGATGCAACAGAAGATTTTTTGATTCAAAGGAAATACATTCCATCATTATGCGATGAATTAAAACGGTACACGAGCCATTTGTGTCGCTTGCCAGTTCTCTATTCTAAATTTAACGAACTTGAAAAAATCTTTATGGTAAAGATGTATATAAAGGAGTATATAAGAACCATTATCAGGCGTTTCCAATCGGAAATTGAGCAATTTAAATGTTCTATGGAAAGTGAAGATTTATAATCTATGTATTTCAAAATTCTGTGTGCTGAATTGTCTGAAAGCTTTGCACACAGTGACTTAGAGATATAACATGAAAACATTAATTAATTAGGAGTAAACTTCTAAACTGTAAGATAATATTCCAGGTTCAAAACATAATCAGAAGCTTTATTCTTTCAAATTGCCTTACTACGTTCATCCATTTGAGTCGTGTCATTAATATCAAGTTTATTGACAAGTACGTAAATAATTATTCTTTATACTTCTTTTCCGAAAAAAAGTACGTCACGTATTTGCATGGTATACGATATTATTGTTAGAAAGCACATATGATTGATATATTGTTTATATTAATTTCTCAAATTTGAGTGATTGAAGATTTCGAAGAAGTCCAAATTCTTTTGAGGTTGGTAAACTTAATTTCTTTAAGCATATCAGGAAAAAACTGCCAATTTTTTATAATATATCTTCAGGCAATGTGGCTATTGTATATCATAAGCTTCGTTTGATTTACGTCTTAATGTAATTTCTTCTGATTTTTTCTCGACACTTGTCCCTCTTTAATGATTGCTTACTTGTCATTCTTCATTCAGCTTCATGAATACTTATAGAATCACTGACTTATAATACAAGCATCGAATTTATTGCAGCCCAACAGAATTCACATGTGCAGTAAAAAAACTCCGGTCGTTTACGTTTCAACATATTGAGGAATGCTAGCCGTAGTCATATATGAAAAAATGAATGCATTAAAGAATAACTCGATCCCTTGGTTGGACAATTCGGAAGTTATGAATTTGGTCAGATTATTTGAAGGTTTGGATTGTGGTCAGAGCATTGAAGCTTAAATGATCTGATGTAATGCACTGAAGTTAAATGCTCCGGGTCAGTATCATTGGAGTCTACTCGTCTTTTTTAGATAAATTCCACTTGTTTCTTTAATAGATTGCGCTGAAAATGATTCACAAGGTAAAAAGCATGGAAGGCACTGCAAAGCCTACATAGGTTGGACAATGAAACCGATGGGTTTGGTTTTATCATACAATAGTTTCCTGAGTGACTTCTCTAGGTCATTGAAAATTGTTCCATAAGATATAAATCATGGGTGTTTGCATGCTGTAGGCCATCAGTAATCTACAACTGCTCTTTCATTTTCATAAAAAGAATTTTCCACAGCTTTGCAGCGTGTATCTTCAATACGCACGGAAAATCTCTCAAGTGTGATAAGTTGCATAAGAGCCTGTAATATTGAGTCGGTATTTATTAGCATGAATGATTAAAAAATTTACTCGTTAAATTCCATATAATTTCTATTGTATCGCAGTAAACAGGCTGTGACGACTATTGGACGAATTCTTATAGGACAAATTTTCTTCGCATTGGATAAGAATCCTCACGATTTAGTCAAATTTAGAATCCAGTTAGTAATTGCGACATTATCTCCAAAACAGTGAAATCTAGATTCCACAAAATATTGTTAGTGATGTTCTTTCACTCTTTCCCATCTTTCAATGTGCATTAAATTAGATCGTCGACTGTAGGTAGATTCTTCTCGTGAATTCTTACTCGAGATTCCGTAAGAGTAGCACAAGTTTTTATAGCACAATTTGTGAGACTTCCAACACTACATAAAGTGCTGATTTTTCATGCACGAGGTCGTTTTGGTGAAGCCATGTTAAATTTGCCTAGCATCCTGCACCAATCCAACTTGGATAGTGAAGTCATGGAGCTTCAAAAATCGATCTAAATGCAATATAGCTTTTAAAAAATTATGTTTAATTGTTGGAGAAGCTGATTTAAATGAAATTTCTTTATTTTCTCACAAGTTCTTTACAAAACCAACTTCAGCTGAAACCAGCCACCATTTTGAAATGTTTTTTTAACAAACGTCATTTGCGAAACAAAGCATCTCTCTTTAATGATTACTCTTCAAATGATCTTATCAAATCCCGACATCATTAAAGTCATTTATCAGTCCTCAAGATTGATCGACTTCTGTCATTTGGTAACTTTCTGCACTTGTACCAACACGCCTGAGGCTCGTAAAATAAACGTCGCTCTGCAGAGACGCTGCTGAGCTCATGTCTTTTTCCCGTGTGCTCAGCAGCGTCTCTGCAGAGCGACGTTCAATTTTAGAGCCTCATGCGTGCTGGTACAAGTGCAGGAAGTTAAGAAATGAAAGAAGTCGATCAATCTTGAGTCTTGAGGTCTGATAAATTATGTTAATGATGTCGGGAGTTGATAAGATCATTTGAAGTGTGACCATAAAAAATAGATGCTTTGTTTCGCGATGCAGTTTGTTTAAAAAGAACATCACGAGACGGTAGCTGGTTTCAATTGAATTTGGTTTCGTTTAGAACTAGAGAAAATATGCGTTAGGCTATTATATGACGGATGGCTCAGCCGAAGCGTCTGAGGGAGCGAAAATAAGACGTGCAATTAATTTTAGGGTTTTTATTTTTTACGTTGTAGAATTGCTCAAATGAATGGAGCAAAAGGACTGATGTGCTCAGCTCGGCTCCTGTAGAGCGACGTTCATTTTACGAGCCGCAGGCGTGTTAGTACAAGTGCAGAAAGGTAACAAATGACAGAAGCCGATCGATCTTGAGGACTGATAAATGACTTCAATGAATGATGTCGGGATTTGATAAGATCATTTGAAGAGAAATCATTAAAGAGAGATGCTTTGTTTCGCAAATTACGTTTGTTAAAAAAAACATTACAATGTGGTGGCTGGTTTTAGGTGAAGTTGGTTTTGTAAAGAACTTGAGAGAAAATGACGAAATTTCATTCAAATCAGCATCTCCAATAACTCTACATAATAATTTAAAAGCTATATTGCATAAATTGTATACAGTAGATCGATTTTTGAAATTCCATGACTTTACTATCCAAGTTAGATTGGTGCGGTATGCAAGGCAAATTTTAACATGGCTTGACCAAAACGACGTCGTGCATGAAAAATCAGCACTATACAGTGGCGGAAATGGCTATAAGACCACCCAGTTTTCTCTACATATTTTTTCTTGCACAAAAAAGTACGGATTCTATCTATACGAGGTGAAAATACGTTTAAAATGCTTCCAGCGCTTTACGAAAAAAAAAATAATTTTCTTAAAATATATGAGAAGAAATTATGAAAATTCGAAGTTCCTAGGTGGATATGGTTATACGACCATGATAGGTTTTTCTTCGTTCATGTATCTTTCTGTAATATTTTCAGGTTAATAAGTACAGCAACATGAAGAATATCCGGATTTTGGCCATTTAGGGTACTTCTGGTGTACGTCTGGTGTAGTTTGATGTCCTCATTTCAAATTTTTTGTTCGAAGTAAAAAAGATGCCAAATGGAACAAGACTCACAGAGGCCAAGAAGGCGCAGATTTTGGCCTTTACGAATTGCGTTAGAAGCCAACGGGACATCGCAAGGAAATAAAATGCTCAAAAACCGTTGTGCAATAATTTTTTGCTAATCCGGACGGCTACGGATGGGAAAAGCACCCTGGACCAACCCCAAAATAAACCGAAAGAGATCATAGGCGACTGTTTTCAGAGGCTTCTAAAGCTGGCCAACCTCTACTTCTATAGCATGGCCACTGGAGTTGATGTGACAGCACGACGCATCAGTCAGATATTGCATGACTCGAAGAAATTCAAGTACCGGAAGCGAAAAAATGCCCTCATATGCTCAATCAAAAGCATAATATCAACCGACTAAAAATTGCTGAGAAAATGTGCTTATTGGTGAGGGACGGGACAAGATTATCTTCAGTGATGAAAAAAATTAAATCATTATGGTCCAGGTGGATGTCAAGGCTATTGGCACCGCCTGGACCGTGAGCGTGAATTATTTTCCATGCTGCAATCTAGTGTTGGTTCGGTCATGTTTTGGGGTGCGTTTAGCCGAAAGGAAAATCAACTCTAGCTATTTTGCGTGGGAGACAAGATTCAGAGGCATGCAAGCAAACGCTTTTTGACCATCTTCTCCCTTTTGCCAATGAGAAACATAAGGGATCATATGTATGTTTTCCAGCAGGACAAAGCTTCGATTTACGAATGGAAGCCAGCAAAAAAGTGGTTCCAAGAGCAGAATATTAGCCTGTTGCCGTAGCCAGTATTTAGTCCTGACCTCAACCGCATTGAAAACCCATGGGGCATCATGACGAATAATTGGCAATTTTCGAATCATATAGTGTCATTGGTGCTTGCTCTGTGCCTTATTATGGGTGACGCCTGAGGTAGTTTAACGTAAATATTTGATACGAAACTACTATTGCCAGTGCTGCTTCATTTCACCCCATTTTAAAGAACTTTCGCCATCTCGTTGCCTGACTTCGTAGCAACTTGGGTGCTGATGAAACTTCGTGTCACATTCTATTCCTCCGTAATTGTCGATACTTCAAGTCAGATTGTATGGACTAACCTTTGAAGAATCTTTGGCCCCTGTTTAACTTTGGACTCCTGGAGTACAGCCTTTTATGGAAGCTTAGCCTGAGCACGGTCAGGACCTTTGGACGTGAGAAGCGTGGACACGTGCTAGTTTTGGAGTCGTGAGAGCTTTGATCGTCCTATATCTGGCTCTACGGTTCCCACTAATTGGGATGCGACCATTACCTTTGCCCCGGCAACCTTCCTCTGCGCGGGTGTGGACTAGCCCCAAGAACCAGCACTTCACCGCCGCGCTTCACTGAATGATTTTTCAGGTACGCCACCCTGTATTTCAGCATGTACGCCAACATGCATGTTTTATGAACGATCAGTGCATAAAACATCATTAAAATAACAGTTATTTGATCGACCGTCGTAGATAAATTTCTGGTCGTATCTCAAATGCTGACTAGCACCTCTAACAAGTTTTTGATATGAAAGCAATTACTTTTATCATGTTCATACACCAGCAAGAACAAATTGTATGGATTAGAAAATGCAAAATAATAAAAAAATTTAAGGACCACCCTAATGGCCACTTATTAGGGTTTTCTGATTTAAGATCAAACACGTGTTCTCTCACTCCCATCTTTTGCTCTCTGTCGTATTCCAATGGCAAGGACTTAGTTTAGTAAAGCGGTGTCGGTATTAATTAGACCGTTAGAGCTGTCGCCGATTCTGAACATCGTAGAACATTAACAGCTTGTTGCGCACTCGAACACTCAACTCAATGCTTAATTATGCGTTGCTTAACAGCCTGGCCTTCTTGCCGGTTTGACCAGAACATTCGCTGGAAGCTGGGATCGAATCCATAACCCGTTGCTCCAATTCCTAGTACTGTGAACTGTTACCACTAGGCCAGCTTGTCAGTTGTTCCGCTACCATTCCGTTTTACTAATTTAGTAGGTGACCGCGTTGTATATATACCGCTTTCATTCTTTGATGGTCATTTAATATCCTGTTTCGCACTAAATATTCATTGAATAGCCAATTGGGGCGCTTGTACTACTTGAATCCGGACTTCTGGATGGCGTGACGATGGGAAAAAATCTCTCCTTTTTGGTAAATACCTGAGTTTAGTTCTTCATGAATATTACAATCATCTTATTGGTGCTATTACCAACAAGTTTGAGATAGATAGACAACATTTAACTCTAACCTCTGCATTATGTATTTGCTGTATAAATTGCCCGAGCGAATATCTTTAAATATAAACTTTCTTTCGGTTAAATATTTGGCATAGCTTTTCTCAGGAAAATAACTTCATTATTGCAGACACACCATCAAATTTAATATATGAATAGAAAAATCCCGTGCACGAGAAGAGAGTTGGAGTTCAATCAGTCTTGTTCCGAGTCAGTAGGTTTCCTTCCATTGAGTGAGCTTATTAGGGCACGGCAGCATTGAGGCACACGAAGAGCCGGTTTATCTGCAATATAGAATTTAAATCATAAGCTTATATAGTCATGCACGATTTAAGCAGGCTACATTTTCGTGAATCATGATCAATTACACTGCTTGAATTATCTCTCACAATTCAAGCAGTGTAATCTGTATATTTCATAACTTCTATATTTTTGACATTGTGTTCAGCCTTTATAACAAAAAACATGTTGTACAAGCATAATAGGAAAATAAACACATATTTCATGACTCACATTCAAATGTTTCATGGTAGAGGTTTTGCAGTTCGAGTAAGCGTTTGAGAAGTTGGGGTCTGTGCTGCATTTGTTATTCAGCGTGGTAGTCTGGAAAGCCTCGTCGTCAAATGTGTTGTCGTCTTTCAGCTGTTGAGAAAAAGAGGGTATGGAAATAACTAGTCGAATAAAAAGAAAGTAAGTAGCAGATTGTTTTTTTCAGTTGTGGATTAGTTGTTGCTGCAGAAAAATAAGTTCAATAGGGAGGTATTTTCAGAAAATGAAGCACAGAATAAATATTTCGCGGAATGAAATGTCAAATGTTATAGATTAGAATTACGAACTCCCGAGATTCTAATAATTTGAAACACTGTTAGTCTTAATGCAAACAATATTATATGTTTTGTCATGAGTTATTCTCTACTAAATAAGCTACATAAACTAATATTATCCAATTAAAGTTCATTTTTAATGCTTAAGATAACACTATACATCTATTAATTCAGTGGTCAAAACACGGGATCGAGATCACAGCAGACAAATTGGGTCCAGAACGATCGAATAGACGAAATCGCTCATATTCTCAAGTAATTGTCCGGTTTCGATCAGGTGTCTAATTTTGTTCATTATAATTATATTCTGAAATTAGATCATCTGAAAAAGAGATGCAATATTCACTAGACGCGTAGAGATTGATGGAAAATTACTTGCACTGAGTCAACGACTGGACAGCATCACGCCAGCAAGACCGCACTGGTGGGCGGAAGTACTAAGTCAATAATAGGAGGAACCTTAATAAATGACCCTAGTAGTTAGAACGTCCGCAGCGTTGTTGCACTTAGTTAAAATTATTAGCCGTCTACCTTTCTGTACAATAAGCAGTCTTCCTTTCTTCTCGAAATAAGTTTAATGTAGAAAAGAGTCTTTACTTATGCCTCACGTACTTAGCCAACTAATCCCTTCCCCCGATCAGGTTGAACATATATTATTAACCAGGAGTCGCTTAATATTGCCTGGTGATATAATTGCACTGAGTGTTCAGTGCGCCAGTACTGGTTGATAAATGAGTACCTGGCTTGTCCAGGGTGTTGTGTAATTAATGCAATAAAATGGTTCTGGCGGGTCAGCGAGCCAGTGATGGTCGTAGAACTACCAGTGGTACCGAGTGCCCGGAAAAACTGACCTATCACTGACCTATGACTGACCCTAGTCGCCACTACCAGGATGGGCAATTACAACAACAGTTCGCCAGTATACCGAAATACTCACAAGTCCGACTGCTTGCAACGAGCACTTGGAAAAATTGGACACAAGTGGATCACATGTTGCTGCATCGTACCCAGTCAAACTTGTGAAGCTAACGCATTTGATATCTGTTGGAGAGAAATATAATCAACGGGCTTGATATTTAAATCGTATACGCAATGCTGAAAATATAACAGGCTGAATCTCAACTCAAATCTTGCGCAAAACAACAGGCAAAACTAACGAAAGTAAATCATCATTAGGTGTAAAATTTAGGACGATAAATCTTAAGCTCAACTGATTTCAATCGAGTCATCATTTAGAGCTACTTATCAGGATGTTTAGCGTTTCCAGCACGACACACATTGAAAATTTTTATTGAGTGATTTTGTGTGGCTGATCGTTCAGGAAGCTAAAATTTCAAGTCGAGTAAACTACATTAAATTTTTTATTTCAATTTGCAGTAAGGGACCATGCATTATTTAACAGTTTATGAATGATAACCATTTGTCGACGAATTCTGTAAGCAATTTTTCTAATCATATAGGCTCGCTTAAGTTGCTTAAAATGTTAAGAAAATTTCCTTGAAGGAAATATGATATATTTTTGAATACGTAACAAAAAATAGACAAATCATGAAGATGTAAATTTCGATATGTCGTCAACTAATTTCTACCTATAGCCGAGGTGGCTTGCTTCACATGCATGTTAGATAAAAATATTAGTTGTTAAGCTTAAACCCTCAATTGATCAATTTAAGCTAGGAATTATGTTAATATTAAACAGAAACATAGTGACGCAAAATAACTCTTTGTACTTACTTGAAAGAAACTTGTCCATCTCCGTTCGGTGCTGCTCATAGCAAGCGTGGATATTCCTGTTGATACTCTCGTATGCCTCTTTCATCGCCGTTTTACAAGGGGATGCGCCTCTGTAAAAAATTCCAAAATAATCCCTTTAGTGTGAAAATTTTGCTAGTGCCTTCTTCTTTGAAATACGGAAAAATGTTCGTACAAAAATGAACGGTATGACAGTTCCAAGCAATGCCCTGAAAACAGTCCATTAAATCCGAATTTTCTCGTTATGCCAGCAGAAAATAACTACACTTTTAGCGTTACCATATTCAAGTTTCAGGCACTCAATAATTACGATGTAATAAAGTATTGTAGATAAATGTAAATAATATTCTCGAAAGATTAGTTTGCTCTGTATCGAAGTTGCAAAATCGTAATCTATTACTCCAAAATATGGGTCAACCTTCATTCCAATCGTAAATTTCAATAAAATAAAGCACAATAAAATCGGAACACATATGACGTATAAAAATTACGTTCTCAAATCTAATCAATCTCCCATCTTCGATATTGTCTGAAATCAAAGCACTTACGCCGCGGACGAAGCAGCGGCGGCGGCGATCAGAATCATCAGAGCTCGCGTCATCTTTTCTCTGTGGTCGTGGCAGCGGTGCGATGGCAGGTCGTGGCAGCGGTGCGATAGCAGGTCGTGGCAGCGGTGAGATGGCAGGTCAGAGCCGCAGTGCGATGGCAGGTCGTGGCAGCGGTGCGATGGCAGGTCGTGCGTAGGCAGGCAAGTACTGCTTGACTATGAAGCGGGGTTGGCACTGTCTCTTATACACATCTAGATGTGTATAAGAGACAGTATCTGTTCACAAATTAGCCATTTACGTATTAAATAACCATCAAAATAGTAATGTAATTTTCAACAACACGTTCTAACAACAATATCACATTTTGCTAGGTGTCAGTAAAATTAGCTATAGGACCCAACCGGCGCCCCGGGTACCTGATTTAGGGCTTGAGGGTAAGTTGTGTTAGGCGTTAGTGAGAGAATCCTATAATTTTTAAGAATGTTAACTGGAGACAAAATTTTTTTTGGTTGGGAACTTCATTGAGGTTTCAGTTTTAGTGTCCCGCAAGTGTTCTCATTCCCAGCTTTAGCTATCTCTCGCATTCCAATGTCAAAGACTTGTAATTTGTTCACAGACCATTTCAANTGACTGTCTCTTATACACATCTAGATGTGTATAAGAGACAGTTCCATAACTGACGATTGATTGAGATAGCTGCTGGACTTATTGCCTGGTCCGTAATTTGCTAGGCATTTTAAGACTGAACATATGCTCCTGCATAGCTTCGTCTAGTCTGTTCCTTTTAAGACTGAACATATGCTCCTGCATAGCTTCGTCTAGTCTGTTCTTTAGGGCGTTCATACTCGGAGCTTCAACGATGCTATCAAGGAAGCTGTTCCACATGTCGGTGACTCGAAGCGAGAAGAAATGTTGTCGCATGGATGTGTTCCAACGCAGTTTTTGTAATTTATAGCCGTGGCCCCTGGTGTTGGTTCTTGTTTCAAATTCTAGTAATCCTTCTGGGACCTTGTATAAGCCATGAGTATACTTACATACTTCAATGAGGTCTCCACGCAGACGTCGACAATGGAGGCTTGGAAGCTTCATAATCTTTAATCTTTCCTCATAGGACTTGCCTTTCAAGCCCGGAAAATTGGCCAAATCCGAGAACAAAAAAGGCAAAAAAGGCCGATAACTCAAAATATACTAGTTTATTTGTAAGTTCCACTATAAAAATTCCATTCATTTTCTTTTTGCAGTATTTAAAATTTAATTAGGAAGTACCCCTATCATAAATTTTAGCCGGCCAACGCAATTGAAAAAAACTAAATCACGGAATTTGTCCGGATAAAATGGCCGTCTGGCAACCCTGTTTAAAAAACAGTACAAAAAATGAAATAATAGTACATGATGAAGCAATCATAGTCAACGTGCTATGTGGTTCGTCTCTTTATGTGTCGTTATGTCCCGTTATAAAAGATAGAAATTCCGGGAAATTTTCAACCTTCTATTTTAACCGGGACGTCTTGTCTCGTCTCGGTATCGCACCGGAATTCCTTCGGAGTGCTGAAAATTGTACCGGCTTTTATTGCGAACCGGGACAAAGTTTCTTGTCTCGTCTCGTCTCGTATGGAAAAAAATTCCAAACGCAGGAGTCTAGTATGAGTGTCTCAGCCGATCGAAGCGTCTGCGAGGGCGAAATACGACTTATAGTGAATTCCAGGATCTTCTTTATTCTTTATATTGTAGAATTATTATAGGTTAAGCAAAAGGACTGACATGCTTAGCTGCGTCGTAGAAGATCGATGTTTATTTTACGAGCCTCCGGCGTGTTGGTCCAAGTGCTGCAAGCTAACAAAAGGACAGCAGTCGATCAATCTTGTGGTAAGATAAATGATGTGAATGATATGTACATTGAATTCCATTATCTTCTTTACCTTTTCTATTGTAGAATTATAAATGAACAAAAGGACTGACATGCTTAGCTGCGTCGTCGAAGATCGATGTTCATTTTACGAGCCTCAGGGTGTTGGTCCAAGTGCTGCAAGCTAACAAAAGGACAGCAGTCGATCAATCTTGAGGTTAGATAAATGATGTGAATGATATGTACATTGAATTCCATTATCTTCTTTAACTTTTCTATTGTAGAGTTATAAATGAAGCAAAAGGACTGACATGCTTATAACTGCGTCGTGGAAGATCGATGTTCATTTTACGAGCCTCCGGCGTGTTGGTCCAAGTGCTGCAAGCCATAACAAAAGGACATCAGTCGATCAATCTTGAGGTCTAATAAATGATGTTAATGGTGTCAGCATCTGATATGATCATTTGAAGAGTAATCAATAGGGATAGATGATCAGTTTTGCGATTACACTTGTTCGAAGAAAATCGCAAGGTGGTAGCTGGTTTCAGGTGAAGTTGGTTTTGTGGAGATTCTGAGAAAATATGACGTTACTTTATTAAAACCAAAATCGCGAACAACTTCAGTATTTGAAAATTATTATAAATGTACATAGATTTTAGAAATGAAGAGGTGTGACAGATACGTTGAAGGTTATGAGTGTGCTCAGATATGTTCCTTCGATGAAGTGTGAGATAGTATATTTCGGAGCTGGTAGCGAATTTGTCAAAATGGATAAAAAAAAGCTAGTGGGTCACACAGATAAGACTATATTTATGCTCTTTACCCCCAGACCCATTTCTTTTTTACGTGCCATCACCTTCAATAGAATAATTTTAGAATGGGTCGATCATTTTTATATCTTCGTTTGATAACCGAGAGTAAAATTTTCTTCAATAAACACATTAACTACATCTGTCAGGGGCTGAGTAAAGCCACGGTGTTTTGCGTGCTCTATCAAGTGTCGCATTGAACGAGTGATTTAAGTATAGAAGTCAAATAATTTAGTGTTCCAAAACCAAATATGGATAATTATAGAATCACCGACTTATATATAAATATATCTGACTGTCAAAGATATTAATGAAAGGCTGTTCCATCACTAAGAACGATCCTCTGCTCATTGTCTCTATCAACACTATCGAACACGTTTTTAATTTTGGGTCGTGTACCTTTTAATTAAGAGAAACGGGTCATCCCTTTAATAAATCGTCGCGTTTAATATTTCGGATTAGGTAAAATGACAACATTCCTTTGATTCGTACTAATGTTTTATATAGACTGTCGAAAATCTTAAAACTCGACGTTATGTACGAATTTTAGCTTTTAAAATTTACGAATAAGACACTTTTTCATGATAAACGTCTTTTTGAATCTGCGTTGGCCTCTCTTAATTGTTCCTCAACATTCTCATAATACCAGGGGCATCTGCTTTATAACTTACCCCTGGTTATGCTTAGCTTTTTATATCATATGGGCATTCACTAGCGGAAGCTTTTGCTATGTTATTTCGTGTTCTTTTCTAAACTATATTGTGTTGCATGCTACTGTGTGTGAATAAAGAATAAACAAAAAAATGAACAATGCTCAAATGCGACTTAGCACTCTCGACAGATATTCCTTGCGCACTGAAGATAAACACATTGCACGGAAACAAGCTGCAAAGCTCTGGATAAGTTGTTCTTATGCAAATGAAAAAGCAATTGCATATTTTCGATAGCCTGCAGCATGCAAACTCGCAAGATTCCTATCTTATAGAGACAATTTTCAATGATCTGAAGAAGCCACCCAGGAAACACTTGTATGATAAAACCTAATGCATCTGTTTCATTGCCCAACCTATTTACCTATGTAGGCTTTGCAATGCCTTCCATGATTTTACTTAGTGAATAATTTTCAAGGCATTCTATTAGAAAAACAAAGAGAATTTATCTAGAAAGACGAGTAGACTCCAATGCCACTGACCCGGAGCATTAACCTTTGGTGCATCACATCAGATCATTAAGCTTCAATGCTCTGATCACACTCCAAACCGCCAATGAATCTGACCAAATTCATAACCTCCGAATTATCCAGCAAACAATCCCAGTGATTTATTAAAGCCCTTAATTTTTCATATACGGCTAACATTCCTTAATATTTGGAGACTCAAACGACCGAAATTAATTTTTTACTGTTTACACGAATTCAGTGGGGCTGCAATAAATTCGGTGCTTGTAGCTATTATATAAGTCGGTGATTCTACATGTATCCAGATGTGAGTTTTGGAGCACAAATTGTGAGACTTCCAACACAAGTACTGATTTTTCATGCACGAGGTCGTTTTGGTCAAGCCATGCAATTAATAATTGCCTGGCATACCGTACTATTCCAACTTGGATAGTGAAATAATGGGAATTTCAAAATTTTATCTTGATTCAACATAACTTTCATATGATTTTATCGAGTTATTAACGATGCAGTTTTTAATGAAATAACGACCTTTTTTCTCAAGCCCCTTGCAAAACCAACCTCACCTGAGACCAGCTACCATCTTGTAATGTTTTTTTTAACAAACGTCATTGCGAAAGAAAGCATCTCTCCTTAATGATTACTTTTCAAACGATCTTATCAAATCCCGATATCATTAAAGTCATTTATCAGTCCTCAAGATTGATCGACTGCTATCATTAGTTAGCTTCCTGCACTTGTACTAACACGCCTGAGGCTCGTAAAATGAACGGCGCTTTACAGGAGCCGAGCTGAGCACGTCAGTCCTTTTGCTCCATTCATTTGAGCAATTCTACAATGTAAAAAATAAAAACTCTATAATTAATTGTACGTCTTATTTTCGCCCCCGCAGACGCTTCGGCTGAGCCATCCGTCATATAATAGCCTAACGCATATTTTCTCTAGTTCTTAAAGAAATCAAATTCAATTGCAACCAGCTACCATCTTGTAATAATATTTTTAAACAAACCTCATTGCGAAGCAACGAATCTATTCATTATGGTCCCTCTTTGAATGATCTTATCAAATCTCGACATCATTAAAGTCATTTATCAGACCTCAAGATTGATCGACTGCTGTCATTAGTTAGCTTTCTGCACTTGTACCAACACGCCGGAGGCTCGTAAAATGAACGTCGCTCTGCGGCGTCGAAGATCGATGTTCATTTTACGAGCCTCCGGCGTGTTGGTCCAAGTGCTGCAAGCCAACAAAAGGACAGCAGTCGATCAATCTTGTGGTAAGATAAATGATGTGAATGATATGTACATTGAATCCCATTATCTTCTTTACATTTTCTATTATAGAATTATAAATGAACAAAAGGACTGACATGCTTAGCTGCGTGGTCGAAGATCGATGTTCATTTTACGAGCCTCCGGCGTGTTGGTCCAAGTGCTGCAAGCTAACAAAAGGACAGCAGTCGATCAATCTTGTGGTAATATAAATGATGTTAATGGTGTCGGCATCTGATATGGTCATTTGAAGAGTAATCAATAAGGAGAGATGCTCTGTTTTGCGATTACACTTGTTTGAAGAAAATCGCAGGGTGGTAGCTGGTTTCGGATGAAGTTGGTTTTGTGAAGATTCGGAGAAAATACGACGTTACTTCATTAAAATCAGCATCGCGAACGACTTCAGTATACGAAAATTATTATAAATCTACATATATTTTGGAAATGAAGGTGGTGTGACAGATACTTTGAAGGTTGTGAGTGCTCAGATATGTTCCTTCCTAAACGTCTTTTTGAATTGGAGCGCAGCCGTGCACCACCAATTCTGTGCACCAATAAGCCCTGAATCGAACGCCTTGGATCTCTCCGGACATCCACCAATCAGCCGTGAACCACTCGGCTTTGTCTTCCTCCGGCCTTGCATAGAACCTGCTGTGCACCACCAGGCCGAGGATCGAATCTGACTTTCGGGCATTGCTAAATTACCCCCAACATAACTTTCATATGATTATTTCGAGTTATTAACGATGCAGTTTTTAATGAAATAACGACCTTTTTCTCAAACCCTTACAAAACCAACCTCACCTGAAACCAGCTACCATCTTGTAATGTTTTTTTAACAAACGTCATTGCGAAACAAAGCATCTCTCCTTAATGATTACTCTTCAAATGATCTTATCAAAGCCCGACATCATTAAAGTCATTTATCAGTCCTCAAGATTAATTGACTACTGTCATTTGTTACCTTTCTGCACTTGTACTAACACGCCTGCGGCTCGTAAAATGAATGTCGCTTTACAGTAACCGAGCTGAGCACATCAGTCCTTTTGCTCCATCCATATGAGCAATTATACAACTTAGAAAAAACTATAATTAATTGTGCGTCGTATTTTCGCCCCGCAGACGCTTCGGCTGAGCCATCCGTTATATAAAATCTTAACGCATATTTTCTCTCGTTCTTAACGAAACCAAATTCAATTGCAACCAGCTACCATCATGTAATGGTATTTTTAAACAAACCTCATTGCGAAACAGCGCATCTATTCATTATGATCCCTCTTCAAATGATCTTATCAAATCTCGACATCGTTAAAGTCATTTATCAGACCTCAAGATTGATCGACTGCTATCATTAGTTAGATTTCGGCACTTGTACCAACACGCCTGAGGCTCGAAAAATGAACGTCGCTCTGCAGAGACGCAGCTGCATGAGCACATGTCTTTTAGTTCCATTCAATAATCAATTTTGCAATAGAAAAAATAAATAAGATCCTTAAATTCATTGTACGTCGTATTTTCGTACTTACAGACGCATCGGCCGAGGCAATCGTGGTAGGGCGGAGCATTTTTTTATTTTTATTTTTCGTAGTTCGGTTACGGTATACAATAATAATAAATGAAAAAAAAACACCGAAACAATTGTGGAAGTGCAAACAAATGTTGTGTGCACAATTTTCTCAAACTTTCAATAGAAAATTCCTTCAAAACACCACTATTATAAATTTTTCTATTTCTAGAGTGCTGAATTTAGTGCATTATCAGTATTATAGCCAGAGGGCCACTCTATAAATGACCAATTCTCCTAAAATTGTAACATAAGTAATGATCATTTGAAACTCATCGACAAGTCATATTCGAGCTCTAGTTCAAAATGTTGAGTTAGCAACTGTATTCGATAACTAATCAGCGTAATAGTTGTCAATGTTTTATGGGCGTAAAATGTCTGATTTAATCTATTCTGTACAAGTGCGGCCCAAATATGGTGCTTGAAATTTAAATGGAGACACGGCACCATTCGACGCCGAATGTTCACTGGCTATGTTGAACTTCGGCTGCAATTGGGACAGTGAGGCTTCCGTCGGACGTTGAAATTTAAGAGACGACGCTATTAAAATGCATTCGTTAGTGGAAAACAATATTCCAAGAATCGAAAGCTAGATGTTAACAGGAACTTAATATAAAAATATCCTCTCAAATATTCAATCATTATTACCTCTTGAAAAGGCTTCCAAAAATAATAAACGTTTAGGTCAGTATTCCAGGACATCTTAAATTTTAATCGCTATCTCGGACACGCAACGGAGGTAACGATTCTTTAATTCCCTGTACATCAGCCTCCACGAGGTTGAGTTAAATCAGAAATAATGAATGAGGAAAATGATTTTTAAATGGATCGCAAAACAGCATAGTCGATCTGTAGAAACTTCTCTTTAACAACATGGGTTATGCGAATTACTATTTTCCGAATGACTGTTTAAAATAATAAATAACGCCCATTGATCCAGAACGATAATGCTAGTTTTGAGGAGATTGGTCGTAACAGCACAGAAAGTTCACAATAATATAATTTATTCTATGGCGAATTATCATGGGTGTTCGGTATCAAATAAATACATCGTCATAAATAGTTCGAACTTTAAATCCCTTTGCCATGTACGGCATATGCAATTGAATTAAGATAATTTCTACGACTGCTCATTACTAGACCGCAACTTTTATTTCCCTTGCGGATAACCCATTCGTCACGGATACATTTCTAGTCGACAATGCTATTCGTACCTATTGGTTCGAGAACGAGAAGTCCCGTCAGTTACGAATGGGGCAAACGAAATTTTCAACAACTTGGATCTTATGATGACTTAATTTTTCACAAAATTTCTCTGTCGATATGTTTCGAAGGTACCAATTAATACATTGAAAGGTGGTATACTATTGATAAATTAGTTTGTTATTCAATATTTTGGTTAGAAATAGTTCGAAAGTTAGGTTGGATATACTTAGTGCTGATGCCTTATCATTATGGCTAAACAATTAATAAGCAAAAAACAATTTAACAAGTATTAGACCTAGTCATTTGATGAGGCCTAGATGGCCCTTGAGGGCATAAAATGCCCTCGTACCATCAGGACGATAAAATAGACAGGTATAAGTTGAAACATATATCCTAGGATTGTTTTAATAATTATTTTTACCCATCGCAGCCCTAGTGTAACCAAAATTTATAATAGAGAACGTTGTCATGTATTTGTTTTACCCTCATTTTATTAAATTTTCTCTCATGATCCTCTAATATGTAAATAATATAATTGAGCTTAGAATCTTGGAATATATATTATATGTAGGCGATATCATGATGATTTTTTTGCAAAATGCGACCTCTATATATACTAAATTGATTTTTTAAGAAATTTTCACACGTTTTCATATGCATTTATGAAAATTTCTTGTAATGCTCCAATAATGAAGATTACAAAATAGAGTTTTGAAACATATATTCTAAATAAGTTTTTATGATGACTTTTCCATTGTGACACCTGGAAGTCCTTCCTGATTTTTTGTTAATTTTCAAATTCATGTTATTTTTTATAATTTTTAAATTTTTCAAAAGACCCTCGAATCATGAATGAAATAAAATAGAGATCTAAAATTTCGCACACATTATTTCTATGCACTTCCACAACTTGTTTGCACTATAGTGTAACCGAACGAACTCCAAAAAATTAAAAAAACACTTCATCTAAGTCCTATACTCTAAGTTAGTATGAAGTATTGGGTTATAATTATGGATGAACTTCTGTGGATAGCTAAAAATCTTTGTTATATTTTATGACGGTACAATATTCGATACATATTATTTTCATGTTAAATTAATTTAGTCAAATGTTTTTTTAGATATTGTCAGACAAATGATTTGGATAAATATTATTATTCTTGCATCAGATGATGTAAGAAAAGTAATCTACTCAACTCATACGCGGGAGCTCTAAAAATTTTCAAGTGCTTTAACGAGCCATTGTCGACCGACACGCACGCATAGAATTATTATTATTTATTGGTTGACTTATTATATTGGCTATTATATATTATTATTATTATATTATATTATTAATATTATTATATTGGCTATTATTATTATTTATTGGCTGACTTATTATATTGGCTATTATATATTATTATTATATTATTATATTATATTATTAATATTATTATATTGGCAATTATTATTATATTATTGGCTGACGACATCCATGTTGACTACTAACAAGTGAGCGTGGACAAATTTTAATAAAATGCAGTTGATTTTGTGATTAACTTCAGTAGAAGAGTTATTAATTTACCGTGTCATCGCAGCTTCTGTTTAATTCTGAATGACAAAGGTTAAATTACTTGTCTCTATGAACCTTCATTATAAACCACTTCAAAACTTTTTACTGATGCATAACTTAATGGTGGTATTAAATATTTTGTAACTTGTACAAAGAAAAAATTTGTAAGCATGGAGCACCGGAACTGTAATTTAACCTAAAAATTAATTTTATAAGAGTAAAGAAATTAATTCATTCCAATTATTTTTGTTACAGTAGATATCAATCGCCTATATTGGCGAATTTAATGTCATCTGAATGCAATTTGGCCAGGCAAAAAAATTGACAAATAATTGATTACAAGATGTTTATAATTAATAGTCGTGGGGACTCTATAGGATAATAAATATTTTTCTATAAATGCTATAATTTGCCGAATATTAGATTTATCGCAATATTGCGTTTTTCTAACTAAAAAATTACTTTTAATACTTATTTTGCTTAAAGAGAATAAATCATCATAAAACATTAAATCATATTCTGGAATACAAGTTTCTAAAATCTTATGAATAGCCAGCATTCAGTTCTCTAGAATTAAACTTTGTATATTTATAGGCAACAAAATTGATGATTCTGCTCGCATGTGTGCACAATCCATCATTAATAACAGCCTCTGAGTGCATTTCTTAACACCTGTTCCAACATATCCAAAGCCTATAACATGGCCACCACATGCCCACAATGCATCAGGATCAAGCCGTACTTGCCTGCCTACGCACGCCCTGCCATCGCACCGCTGCCACGACCTGCCATCGCACTGCTGCTCTGACCTGCCATCGCACCGCTGCCACGACCTGCCATCGCACCGCTGCCACGACCTGCCATCGCACCGCTGCCACGACCACAGAGAAAAGATGACGCGAGCTCTGATGCTTCTGATCGCCGCCGCCGCTGCCTCGTCCGCGGCGTAAGTGCTTTCATTTCAAACAAGATCGACGATTTGATATTGGCAAGATTCGAGAGCTTAATTCTTATTTATCATGTATGACGTGATTTTTATTCTGTTTGATTTTATTGAAATGAACGATTTTACTGCAGGATGACCCATGCATGTGTCAGGAGTAATAAATTACGGTTTTTCATTTTCACTATAGCGTAAATTAATGATTCGCGAACACTATTTAATCTACATAACTTCATTACTTCGTAATTCCTGAGTGACTGAACCTTAATCATGGCAACGTCAACAGTGTATACGTTAATTTTCTAATGGCCAAACTAGAAAATTCGGTAGTGAAGAGCTGTGTTCAGGGCGATATTTTGATACATCATATCGTTATATTTTTATGAAATGTTTCTAACGTTTGCTGCATTTTAATGAAATCACTTGCTGATTTTTAACACTTTACTGATTATTGTGTAATTTTTACAGAGGTGCATCCCCTTGTAAACTGGCGTTCTCAGAAGGATACGAGAGCATCGGCAGTAATTCCCACACTTGCTATGAGCGGTACCGAACGGATGTGGACAAATATCTTTCAAGTGAGTACGTACACTGTTAGAAAAATTACCGTTAACGGTATTACTGGCGTTTCAGCGGCCGGTCGGCACGTGAAAAGAAACATCTTGTCGCCGTTTTTATTCTAATTTAACACTAGACATCCGTAAAGCATCTGAGAAAAACGGCGAATCAGTTTATTTTCACGGGACGACCGGCCAATAGAAAGCCAGTGGGACCGTTTTTTCACCGTTTTTTCTAACAGTGATATAGAGAGAGTTATTTTGCATCACTTTGTTCCAGTTTGCTGATAACATAATTGTTCCAGTTTGCTGCTAACATAACATTACTAATATTTTTATCTAAAATATGAGGCAAACCTCCTCAGCTGCGTAGGAGTTGGTTGAGGACAAATCGAAATCTACATTATTATTATTTATCGATCTTTTGTTAACAGATATCAAAAACATATAATATTCCCATTAAGCTAATTTTCTTAACGTTTTAAGCATCTTGAACGAGCCTATATGATTATATAGTAGTTTCAAATGACGAATCGATTGGAATCAGCCGAACTCTAGATTAGATTTATTGTCCTAAATTTTTAAATTAACGTTGATGTGGTCAATCAGTTTTGCCTTGCAATATCGTAGGTGAGATTCCGCCTGAGACATTTCCACTATAAATTTGAATACCAAAGCCATTGACTAAAGTTTCTCCCCAACAGATTTAAAATGTGCCACCTTTACAAGTTTGACTGGATACGATGCAGCAACATGTGATCCAATTGTGTTCGATTTTTCTAAATGTTCGTTGCAAGCCGCCAAGCTCGTGAGTATTTCAGTATACTAACGCATTATTTGAGTATTTGTATGGATGTGAACGATTTTACCTATACGATAGTTCTGGAGGCAATCTGAATATATATGTTGTGATCTCAATCCCTCATTTTGACCACTGAATTAAAATAGTTAGTGTTTTCATAATCATTATAAATGAACTTTAATGGGGTATTATACATGTAGCATATTTTGTGGAGCATAACTCTTGACAAAATAAATTTTCTTTTTTGAATGAAGAATATTCGTGTTTCAAAATCTCCTGATCTAGGGACTCCACAATTCTAAATTTCTCACATTTCATCCCGCAAAATATGTCATCCTTCCTAGCATTTCTGGAATACCTCCATATTAAACATATTTTTTGCAGCAAGAAGTAACAACAACCAAAAAACGTATCTGCTTCTTACTTTCTTTTTATTGGACTATTTCCATACCCTTCTTTATTCAACAGCTGAAACCCGACTACACATTTGACGACGAGGCTTTCCAGACGATCACGTTGAACAACAAATGCAGCGCTGACCCCAACTTCGCAAAGGCTTACTCGAACTGCAAAACCTCCACCATGCAATATTTGAACGTGCGTCATAAAAATATGTGTTTATTCGGTTATCAGACTCGCGCAACACATCATTAGTTATTAAGGTTCTACAAGATGTTTAAAATATAAAAAATACGAAGTGTGTAGAAAACACTGCTGTATTAAAAGAGATATTTCAAGTATAGTGCAATAAAGCATGATTCATGAAAATATAGCCTGCTTAAAACGTGCATGACTATATAAGCTTATGATTTATATTTTGCGTGGCAGGTAATCCGGCTCTTCGTGTGCCTCGGTGCTGCCGTGCCCTAATCCGCTCACCCAACGGAGGAGAATCCACTGACTCGGAACATGACTGACTGAACTCGAACTCTCTTCTCGTGCACGGGATTTTTTTATTCATTTATTAAATTTGATGGTGTTTCTGCAATAATGTAGTCATTTTCCTGAGAAAAGCTATGCGAATATCATCAATGCAAAATATTTCACAGAAAAAAGCTTATATATAAAGATATTTGTCCTGGGTTATTTAGATAGCAAATTGTAAAATGTGCTAAGGTGAGATTTGAATTATGTCAACCTACATTATGTAGGTAGAAGCACTAATAGATTAGAGGATTGTAATGTTTATGATGAACTGTACCCAGAAATCGTGGTTACCAGTAGCATCACCTCCTATATGTACAGATTGATCCCTATATATGGTCGCGCCCACCAGAAGTGCGGATGCGAGTGGTATAAGTGCCCCAATGGGCTATTAAAGGAATACTTAGGAAGGCGAAATAGGATATTAAATAACCATTAATGACTTAAGAAAGTATATTTGCAGCACGGATTACTTTTAATTAGTATAGCTGAATGGTAGCATACTATATTACAATGTGGTCCAATAACAGACTAGACGAAGCTATGCAGGACATCTTCAGTCTTAAAATGCCTAGCAAATTACGGACCAGGCAATAAGTCCAGCAGCTACAGTATCTCAATCAATCGTCAGTTATGGAAAGATCGGGTTCCAAAGGCCGGATCCCTTGTGAATCAAGTCACGAAAAATTCAAGAATCGGCAACAGGCCATGGGCCTATTTCTTCAGTGCCGACACTTCTATTCTATTATAATGGTAACAGTTCCATGAGCATCAAAATGGGAGCAACGATCGAGCTATGAGTTCGATCCTAGTTTCCTACAACAGTTCTGGTCATATCACAGAGGAAGCTGGGTTATTAAGAGACTTCAACAAGCTGTACATGTTCTGCGATGTCCAGAATCGGCGACAGGTCTGACGACCTACTTAATGCTGACGCCGCCATACCACACTAAGTCATGGACATTGAAATGTGACAGTGAGAGATAGAGCTGGGAATGAGAATACGTGCTGGATCTCAAAGCAGAAAACCCCATTAAGAACCCACCCCTGGAACTTATACTATTCGTTTGCATATAGCAATATTAAAAATTATATGGTCCGTTCACTAAAGCAAAACACAACCTACCCTCGCGCCTCAATGTAAGCCTCAAATAAGTAAAAGTAGGTAAAGCTTAGTAGTATAAGGACGAGTCTATGGGCACAGTCTGCAAAAATAGCAATGGATTAAAGACCATTTACCCCTGATCAAAACCGGATCGTTTACACCCTGCTGACCATGCACTTTTTTAATCATCGCTGTTACTAAAAACCCCGTACTTAACTTAGAGCGAGTGTCAGGGTGGAAGATAGTTTTTTTGGGAAATGGGATTGATTTTAATTTATGAAATACTTTACAAAACGGGGTGTTTGTCTTTATTAAGCAACACAATGCTATAAGGTGCTATAAGGTACTTTATACGTTTCATTACGCAATTCCTTAAAATCTAAACTCTCACAATTCTTTAATGAGCATATCGCAAGCAATGTTACAATGAATATTCTTCATATCGATGAAAGGTAACCCGAATAGAATTAATAGATTTAAATTCGTTATAATGGGTTATAAGGTAATATGTGATAGTTCTTGGATCTGTAAATTGAACTTCAGTTATTGTGTCTTCCAAGGTGTAAAAATCAACAATATTTTGGTTCTTTTAATTAGCAATATCATACAAAATTAACAAATTTTTCTTCCGAGGATGTATGTCACTTGGATAAGGTACCGATCAGTGTTATTAAAATATTCGCTTGCAAATTTTTGTTGACGTCTCTACAGTAAGTAGATATTCATCAATATTAGCATTGCATCTGGAAAATAAATTAATTGTTTCAGATTTTTTATAACGCTTATCGAGAGCATTCTTCATCAACTTATGTTCAGGTTAAAAAGTTGGCTTGCAATAATGGAAGAGATTGGTAAAAATAATTGTTTGGGAATTGAGGGAAACGTACTCCAATGGATAAGAGATTTTCTAGTAGGTAGACGACAACGTGTTAGTATTAACGGAACCGTGTCAGACTGGGCATCGATGCGCAGTGGCGTGCCACAAGGAAGCGTCCTGGGGCCTATTTTCTTCGTTGCTTTTATAAATGATCTGCCAGAAGTAGTATCCAGCGTGTGCTCCATGTATGCTGACGACACAAAAGTTTATAATTCAGTGGAGGATGCGTCAAATAAAGCGCAATTGCAAGATGATCTTGACAGCTTAGTTAACTGGGCTGATACGTGGCAGCTGCGGTTTAATGTTGACAAGTGTAAAGTACTTCACCTCGGGAAGAACAATGAACAGCAAGATTACAGTATGAGAAGACATGGTTGCAACGAGAGAGTAATGATTGAAAAGTCTAGTGTAGAAAAAGTTCTCGGAGTTTATGTCGACAAGGAGCTAAAATTTTCTAAGGATATTGAAACGCAAGCTAGCACATCCAACAAACTTCTTGGATTAATCAGACGCTCATACGAGTTCCTAGATGCAGAAGCGATGAAGCAGTTGTTTGTTGCTGTCGTGCGCCCGAATCTCGAGTTTGGAAACGTTGTGTGGTCGCCGAGATTTGAAAAGGACATAAATTCAATAGAGAATGTTCAAAGACGCGCAACAAGGATAATTCCAGGCTTGAAGAGCAAGTCATATGAAGAAAGATTACAGATTATGAAGTTTCCAAGCCTCAGTAATCGACGTCTGCGTGGGGACCTCATTGAAGTATAGAAGTATACTCATGGTTTATACAAGGTCCCCGAAGGATTACTAGAATTTGAAACAAGAACCAACACCAGGGGCCACAGCTATAAACTAAAAAAAACTGCGCTGCAACTTCTCCACGCGACAAAATTTCTTCTCGCTTCGAATCACCGACATGTGGAACAGCCTCCTCGATAACATCGTTGGCGCTCCAAGTATGAACGCGTTCAAGAACTGACTAGATAAAGCTTAGGAAAAATATATGTTCAGATTTGAAATGCCTAGCACCATATCGAACCCGGTGGAAGCCGAGTTCCAGCTATTTCAAACTTTCGTCAGTCGTGAAAAGATCCGGTCAAATGACACGAGTTTAGATCTTCTGTGAACAAGGCACGAAAATGAAAAGAATCGGCGACAGGCCACATCAGGCCCACTCTGCAGCGCCGAGATCACTATGTTATGTAATAAAGTTCTCCAATATCAACTTCAGAACGATGATGTAATTTAATTAATTTTAGGAATATTGTATCGTCTTTTTTCGAGGTAATAATTCAGAAAGTACATAAACTCATAAATTTATGTCATGCAAGACCGTATATAAGATTTGCAATATTAATTTGTTCTAAAATTATGTGCACTCGATATTCACGGTTCCAAGGTAAAAATTTAATTTAGTTATTTTTACATAAACTAGAATATAAATAAAAACGCTTAGGAAACGTTTGAAATATGGGCTGACTAAAATATTCACATATCCGTTGATTTATCATTCGATGTTGGTGTGATAACGTTGGTTCAACGCTGGAGAATAGACCGAAATTCAATGTGCCAAAAATCGACGTTGATTCAACGATGAAATTAAGTTGTTTTACGTCTCCTCGAGTAATGCTTACATTTCGACATTGACTCAACGTTTGAATTTTGTTGTTTAACATTTCAATCTGAAATCAAGATGATGCATACTTTGTTTTAATGTTAGATGCCTTACGGGTAGGCTGCAATGCTCGTTTAAACGTTGATTCAACGTCATATGCCAGCTTAGTAGGCTGCAATGCTCGTTTAAACGTTGTTTCAACGTCATATGCCTGCTCGGTAGGCTGCTATGCGCGTTTAAACGTTGATTCAACGTCATATGCCTGCTCGGTAGGCTGCTATGCGCATTTAAACGTTGATTCAACGACATATGCCTGCTGGGTAGGCTGCTATGCTCGTTTAAACGTTGTTTCAACGTCATATGCCTGCTCGGTAGGCTGCCATGCGCGTTTAAAAGCTGTTTCAACGTCATATGCCTGCTCGGTAGGCTGCTATGCGCATTTAAACGTTGATTCAACGACATATGCCTGCTGGGTAGGCTGCTATGATCGTTTAAACGTTGTTTCAACGTCATTTGCCTGCTCGGTAGGCTGCTATGCGCGTTTAAACGTTGATTCAACGACATATGCCTGCTGGGTAGGCTGCTATGCGCGTTTAAACGTTGTTTCAACGTCATATGCCTGCTGGGTAGGCTGCTATGTTCGTTTAAACGCTGTTTCAACGTCATATGCCTGCTGGGTAGGCTGCTATGCTCGTTTAAACGTTGATTCAACGACATATGCCTGCTGGGTAGGCTGCTATGCTCGTTTAAACGTTGTTTCAACCTAAGATGCCTGCTAGGTAGGCTGCGAAGCTCTCTAGCGAGTTTACCCACGGGAAAGTATACGAGTAAAGTGTGAAGCTGGCCTTCGACATGAGTCCACATTTTGTTAGCTGTCGCTAAAATTTGCAAGGACCTAACCGACCCACTTCATGGGTACCTAATTTGAGGCTTGAAGGTAAGTTGTGTTATGCATTAGTAAGAGAATCATATAATTTTTAAGATTGGTAATTGCGCACAAAATATTTTCTTATGATTAGATACTTAATGGGGTTTTCCTTTTTAGTGTCAGGAAAAATTCTTTTTCCCAGCTTTCGCTCTCTTTCGCATGCCAATGTCAAAGACGTTCAACTTGTTCACAAACCATTATGCCATACTAATCAATTATTATCCGCGTAGTAAATATACTGCCTTCATCTGTTGTAAATATACTGCCTGTAAAATTACTGTCTTCATTTAAGATCCCGCTTCTTCATAAGTTTTCCTTGAATAGCTAATTAGAGCGATTGTATACAATACTACTCCCATCCGGACTTCTGGCGAGCGTGACGATAGGACGTCATTAGGACCCATCCGTATTTAGGAGATTATGTAACTGGTAACGTGTCACTAACGTCTATTTCTGAGATTGGTTTATTACTAATATTATTGTAATCTAATCTCTTGATAATATTATCAACATGGTGGAGGTTGAAATAATTCAAATTTCGTCTCTGCGCCATACTATATTTGCTGTCTGAATAGCGCAGCGCAATAACTTAATATCTGCGTAACATTTTGCATTGATGATATTCCCATGGCTTTTCTCAGGAAAATAACTACATTATTGAAGAAACACCAACAAATTTAATATAGAAATACAAAAATCCCGTGCACGAAGTGTGAGGGCGAGTTCAGTCAGTCTTGTTCCGAGTCAGTGGATTCTCCTCCATTGGGTGAGCGGATTAGGGCACGGCAGCACCGAGGCACACGAAGAGCCGGATTACCTGCCACGCAAAATATAAATCATGAGCTTTTATAGGCACGAACTTTTAAAACTGGATACATTTTTATGAGTCATGATCTATTAAACTGTTTGAAATATCTCTCGTGATAGCTAACTTCCGCATTTTTATTATTGAGCTTGACATTTTTTAACAAAAAACATGTTGCGCGAGTTTGCTAAGAAAATAGACACGATTTGTACGACTCACGTTCAAATATTTCATGGTGGTGCTTTTGCAGTTCGGGTAAGCTTTTGCGAAGTTGGTATCAGTGCTGCATTGGTTATTCAGCGCAATTGCCTGGAAAGCCGCATCGTCCAATGTGTTGTCGGGTTTCAGCTGTTGAGGAAAGAAGGGTATGGAAATAACTATTAGAAGAGAAAAAAGTAAGCAGCAGTTTATTTTTTGGGTAGGGGATTCCTTTTTGTTGCAAAAAATAAAAATAGGTAATATTTTAAGAAAAATAAGCATGGAATAAATATTTCGTGGGATGAAATTTGAAACTTCGAATTGCGGGCTTCCTAGATCAGGAGATTTTGAAACATTTTATTATTCATGCACAGGAGAAAACTTGTCTTGTCAAGAGTTATGCGCTACAAAATAAACTACCTGTATAACATCCCATTGCTGTTCAGTGATAATGCTTATAAAAATGCTACATATATCAATTCAGCTGTCAAGAAAGAAGCGGGATTGAACTCACTGCAAAATGCAGATTGCTCCTATAAAATTTGTGTATAAGTGAAATTGTTCATGTCTTTACAATTGCTAAAGTAGTTGCTCGATGTGCTCAGTACACCAGTATACTGAAATACTCACGAGCTTGGCGGCTTGCAACGAGCACTTAATATAATTGAACACAAGCGGATCACATGTTGCTGCATCGTACCCAGTCAAACTTAAGTAGTTGGTGCATTTTGAATCTGTTGGGAATAAAAATGTAGTCGATGAGTTTTGTATTACTACCATCTAAACAATGATGAAAAATCACAGGCTGAATCTCAACTAAGATCTTGCGAGTCAAAACTGACGAGCAAGTAAGTTTAATATTTAGGACAATTAACTTGAGCTCGGCTGATTCCAATCGATTCTTCATTTGAAACTGTCAATCGTCAATGGAGCTGCCTGTTGAAAGTTTACAGCAATACATACCGTTTTGACATTAAAATTTCATGATGAGAGAACGGATTTAAATCTGTTCAGTTCAGATTGCAGCATGCTTCTATGGAAAAGTACATATATTTTGGATGATCGTCTGTCGATGTAATCTGGGAACGAGTTTTAAATCGTATAGGCTCGCTTGAAATGCTTAATATGTTAAGAAAATTAGCACAATGAAAATATTAAGTATTTATGTTCTCCGTTGACAAAAAGTAGATATATCGAAAATATGTGAATTTCAAAAGTCGTTAAAAACTCCCACGCAGCCGAGATAGTTTGCCTCACATATTAAAAAAAATATTGGTTGTATAGCTTTGACCCTCAATCAATCATTTAAGCTTGGAATTATGTTAATAGCAATAATAATAAATTTATGCAAAATAACTCTTTTCTCACTCACTTGTAGAAAACTTGTCCGCGTCCGTTTGGTACTGCAGATAGCAATTATAAGCATCGGAGGTCCACATAATATTTTGATTTCCAACTTCCAAAGCCATTTTACAAGGGGATGTACCTCTGTACAAAATTTACGAAATAATCATTACAGTGTATAAAATTAGCAAGTGTCTTCACCTTTGTAGCGCGGATAACGTTTGAAAAATTTCGTAAAATATACACGATATTATATTTCAGAACAACGGCCTGAAAACAGCTCGTCACATCCAAATTTGCTCGTTAGACTATCGTAAAATAACGTATAAACTTTGCCATAATCAAGGTTCAGAGACTCTGGTATGTAGAAGTAATAATGTAATGTAAATCTTATATAACACCATCAAAATAATTACGAGATATATGAATAATTAACAATTACGTTCTCAAATCTTGTCAATATCACATCATCGATTGACTTGCAAACGAATCACTTACGCCGCGGACGAGGCAGCGGCGGCGGCGATCAGAAGCATCAGAGCTCGCGTCATCTTTTCTCTGGTCGTGGCAGCGGCGCGATGGCAGGTCAGAGCAGCGGTGCGATGGCAGGTCGTGCCAGCGGCGCGATGGAAGGTCGTGGCAGCGGTGCGATGGCAGGTCAGAGCAGCGGTGCGATGGCAGGTCGTGCGTAGGCAGGCAAATACGGCTTGATCCTGAGGCATTGTTGGCATGTGGTGGCCATGTTATAGGCTTTGAATATGTTGCGACAGGTGTTAAGAATTCATTCAGAGCTGTTATTAATGATGGATTGGACACACATGCGTGCATAGGCATCATCAATTATGCTGCCTCTATATATTCAAAGCTTAAATCTGAAGGGCAGAATGCTGTCTGTTCATATGATTTTGGAAACTTGTGTTCCAGAATATGACTTAATATTTTTTCGAGGAATTTAAAAGCAAAGAAAACGCCAAGAAAATTCACCATATCGATATTGAAAACGTTTCAGAGTCCAGCTCCATCATCAGTTCGACTAAACTAAAAAAACTAAACTTTTAGTATAGTCGAACTGATGATGGAGCTGGACTCCGAAACGTTTTCAATATCGATATGGTGAATTTTCTTGGCGTTTTCTTTGCTTTTAAATTCCTTGTGAACTTGCGATATAAGCAGACTGATAATATAAGTACTAATATTTTTCGATAATTTATTTTCTTTTGGCAAAATATATATTATAACAATTTTTTTCGATTATTAAATTCAATACTGTTTACTGTTGTGAAATATATGTATTCGGCCAATGATAGTATATAGAACAATATTTATTATCCTAAATGACCCTTGACAAATAATTATTAATATCCTCATGATTAAGTATTATCTCAATTTCACTCACATGACATTTATTTAGACCACAAAGGCAAAAGATATGTACTGTGTCGATAATAGTTGTAATGAATTAATTTATTGAGTCGAACAAAATTAATATTTGGTTACATTACAGTTCCGGTGCTCGATGCTTACGCATCTTTTGCTAATACGACCAGTCACAAATTATTAAATACTACCATTATATAGGTTATGCATCGGTCGCCACATATTTCATTCTAGCCGTACAGTACGAGCGCCTCATTCGAAGCGTTTGTGTAGGCAAAAATGCGACATACATCTAATTCCAGAATCTTCTTTATTTTTTTCTATTGCAGAGTTATAGGTGAATCACGAGGACTGATATGTTTAGATGCGTCTTCGCAGAGAGACGTTCATTTTACGAGCCTCAGGAGTGGTGGTCCAAGTGCAGCGAGCTAACAAAACGGCAGCAGTCGATCAATCTTGAGATCTGGTTAATGATGTTAGTGATAACTAAATTCTATTATAGAATAATAAATGAAGCAAAAGACTGACATGCTTAGCTGCGTCGTCGCAGAGAGACGTTTATTTTACGAGCCTCAGGCGCGTTGGTCCAAGTGCAGCGAGCTAACAAAACGGCAGCAGTCGATCAATCTTGAGGTAAGATAAATGATGTTAATGATGACGGCATCTGATATGATCATTTGAGGAGTAATAAAATTGAAGAGATGCTATGTTTTGCGAGTACGCTTGTTTAAAAAAAAAACATTACAAGGTGGTAGCCGGTTTCAGGCGATGTTGGTTTTGCAAAGAGCCAGAAAAAATCTGACGTTACTTCACCATAATCAACATCGCAAACTACTCGACTTCATTATTCGCCTGTTATGATGAATTCAGAAAAATTATGGGAATTCTCGTGGTTTTAAGATCCAAATTGTAATGGTGTGGTATGCCTGGCAACTTTCAACTGTGTGACTTGACCGAAGCAATTTCTTGCATGAAAAATCAGCACTATAGTTACTAAAGAGAAATTATTTTGGAAATATTTCTCACAATTTGTGCTTCAAAACTCACCTATGGAAAGATGGTGTCATCGAATAAGATGAGCATCGAAAATATTCAACCCTCGCCGAGTTCATTGATTATGTAAAGAAATTAACTGGTCGTTTGTGTCCTAAAATGTTAGGAAATGTTAGCCGGAGTGACACGGGAAGGAAATTTCAGCGCTTTGATGAAGCGCGCGATACGTTGGTCAGATACGTTGAAGGTTATACGTCTGTTAGATGTGAGTTTGAGAATGTGGTCACATACGTATAAGACTGTGAGTGTGGTCAGCTACGGTAAAGGTTGTGCTTTGGTCAGTTACGTTGAAGGTTGTGCGTCTGTCAGATACATTGAAGGTTGAAAGTCGGCCAAATACGTTGAAGGTTATGATTGTAGTGGGATACTTTGAAGGAATTAAGTGTGTTCAGATACATATAAGATTATGAGTGTGGTCAGATACGTTAAAGGATGTAATAATATTGCGTCAAATACGTTGAAGGTTGTGATGACGGTGGGACACGTTGAAGGACGTGAGTGCGGTCAGATATGTCGACTTAGTTACTCGACTATAGCCATTTCCTGTAACAAATATTTATTCGGCAGTTGTTCAGCGTTCAGTGTTTTCAAAATTATTCAGGATCTCAGAAAATTTTGAGGGTAAACGATAGCACTTCAATCGATATGTATTATTCTTATTTGCCCTATTTCAATAATTAAGGCATATCGATGTTGAATTAATACTGACTGCTGCTTCTCTACCTGATTTTTCGACACCGATATATGTTTGAATGATTTGATAAATCTAATTCAAATTTGCAAGAGAATAAATAAGTTGAAAATGCGTATTGCGTGAATTATCTCCATCTATTATTGAGAATTGTTCACAAAAAATGAGTGTGCAATTAGTAAATGAAACGTATATATTATTGGTTCCATTTTCATTCACGAGCATTGAGCTATAGTGTAATTTAATAAATTTTGGAAATATTGTATAGTCCTTTTCTCAATTTAATGATCTAGAAAGCATGTAAACCCATTATTCATGTTATGTAAGACCGTATATAATATTTACAATATTAATTGTTCTAAAATGATTCGCACTCGATATTCATGGTTCCCTGTTAAAAATGTAATTTAGTTCTTTTTGCACAAACTTGGCATATAAATGGAAATAAAAACACTTAATAGGAAACGTTTGTAAATATAGGCTGACAAAAATAGTCACATATACATCCATATATCATTCAATATTGGGGTGATAACGATGGTTCAACACTTGAAAATAGATCAAAATTCAATGTGCCGATATCAACGTTGCTTCAACGTTGAAATTAAGATGTTTTACGTAACTTCGAGTCAAATTTCGAAATTGATTCACGTTTGATTTTGGTTGATCAGCATTTCAATCTGAAATCATGAAATCAAAAGCTATTTACGTTGTTTCAACGTTAGATGCCTGCTATGTAGGCTGCTATGCTCGTTTAAACGTTGTTTCAACATCATCTGACTGCTGGGTAGGCTGCTGTGCTCTCTAGCGAGTTTATACCCACGGGAAAGTATGCGAGTAAAGTGTGAAGCCGGCCTTCGGTATGAGTCTACATTTTGCTAGCTGTCAGTAAAATTTGCAAGGACCTAACCGACCCACAGCATAGGTAACTAATTTGAGGCTTGTGGGTAAGGTGTGTTATGCGTCAGTAAGAGTATAAGAAAATTGCAGACAAAATATTGTCTTATGATTGGGTTTCCTTTTTAGTGTCAGGAAGTATTCTTTTTCCCAGCTTTCGCTCTCCTTCGCATGCAAATGTCAAAGACTTTCAACTTGTTCACAAACCATTTTACCATACTAATTAATTATTATCCACGTAGTAAATGTACTGTCCTCAGCCGTTGTAAATATGCTGCCTGTAAATTTACTGCCTTCCTTTAAGATGTCGCTTCTTCATAAGTGTTCCTTGAATGGCCACTAGGAGCGATAGTACAACTCCGATCCGGACTTCTGGTGAGCGTGACGATAGGATCTATCCGTACTTAGGAGGTGATGCAGCTGGTAACTTTGATTTCTGAGCTTAGTTCATCACAAATATTTGTTTATTGCTCTCTTCCATATTTCGGCCCTGCATCCGAAACTATGTCAAGGGAGCTAAAACTTCTGTTTTCTAAGTATTTCGCAAATATTAACCTACGTGTTATATTGGTCAACCATTTTAAAATCGGTTCTTTTTTTAGGTACAAAGATACTCTCCCTATGCATATGCGAGCGTCCCTAGTTTATGAATATAGTTGTGCACGATGTGCATCTGCGTACGTCGGGATGACGTCTCGCAATCTTTATTCTAGGGTCGCAGAACATAAGGGCAGAAGTTGTAGAACTGGTAACTTACTATCGCGCCCCCCTCATTCAGCTGTGCGGGCTCACGCCGAGCAGTGCGATGTCCCAGTGTCTGACAGTGACTTCAAAGTTTTAGCTTCCAGTTCCGGTGTTTCTGATTTGCGCATTTTAGAATCATTGTATATTTTTAAACAGAGGCCTAGTTTGAATTTAGCTTTTAGCTCTTACCCGCTGGAAATTGTAAATAGATAGGTTTTACAGCTTAGGTTTTTTGTTGCAATCATGACTACTAATTACTGATTTATCTGTGTTCTAGAATTTTCGAACTGACGATGTAGCTGGACTCCGAAACGTTTTCTTTAAAGATACTATGAATTTTTGTGGAGTTTTCTTTGCTTTTAAGTTTTTTGTTAAATATTGTGATAATCTGGTCTATTGATGATATTATCAACATGGTAGAGGTTGACATAATTCAAATTTCGTCTCTGCGATACTAAATCCGCTGTATGAATGGAGCAGCGCAAATAACTCAATATCTGTGAAATATTTTGCATTGATGATATTCTCACAGTTTTTTTTTTTCAGGAAAATAACTACATTATTGCAGAAACCCCAACAAATTTAATATAGAAATAAAAAATCCCGTGCACGAAAAGAGAGGGCGAGTTCAGTCAGTCTTGTTCCGAGTCAGTGGATTCTCCTCCATTGGGTGAGCGGATTAGGGCACGGCAGCTTTGAGGCACACGAAGAGCCGGATTACCTGCCACGCAAAATTTAGATCATGAGCTCTTATAGTCAGGCACGCTTAAAGTTGGATACATTCCTATGAATTATGATCTATTACTCTGCTTGAATCGTATCTAGTGATAACTAATTTCTGTATTTTTTATTGTTGGCGATATTTATAACAAAAGACATGTTGTGCAAGTGCTAGGGAAAATAAACACATTTTTTATGACTCACGTTCAAATATTTCATGGTGGTCCTTTTGCACTTCGGGTAAGCTTTTGCGAAGTTGGCATCAGTGCTGCATTTGTTCTTCAGCGTAATCGTTTGGAAAGCCTTATGGTCCATTGTGTTGTTCGGTTTCAGCTGTTGAGGAGAGAAGGATATGGAAATAACTATTAGAATAGAAAAAGGTAAGCAGCAGATACGCTCATTTTTGGGGTTGGAGATTACTTTATGTTACCGAAATTACAAAAGGTTGGTATTTTAAGAAAAATAAGCAAGGAATAAAAATTTCGCGGTATGAAATTTGAGAATTTTAGAATTACGGGCTCCCTAGAACTGGAGATTTTGCAAAATTTGTATTCGTCATGCAATACGATAACTTGTATGGTCAAGAGTTATGCTCTGCAAAATAAGCTACATCTATACTATCCCGTTGCTGTTCACTGATAATACTTAAGAAAACGCTACATATATCAATTAATCGGTCATGAATCAGGATTGAATTCGCTGTAAAAATGCAGATTGGGTCCTAAATTAGTGTATAGGCGAAATCATTCATGTCTAAACCATCTCAAATAATTGCACGAAGTTTTTAGGGCGCCAATGTACTGAAATACTCACGAGCTTGGTTACTTGCAACGAGCACTTAGAATATTTGAACAGAATTGGGTCGCATGTTGCTGCATCGTACCTAGTCAAACTTGTGATGTTGGTGCATTTTGAATCTGTTGGGAAAAAAATGTAGTCGATTACTTTTACATTACTACCATCTACACAATGATGAAAAATCACAGGCTGAATCTCAACTAAGATTTTGCAAGGCAATACTGACGCCACAAATCACCGGTAAGTTTAAAATTTAGGACAGTAAATCTTGAGCTCCAATGACGCCAATCGATTAATTTAAAGCTGCCAATCGTCAATGAAACTGCCTGTTGAACGTCTCCAGCAATATACATACCGCTTGGGAAACTAAAATTTAAATTTAAAGAAGCGGAATTTTAAATTGTTCATTTCAGTTTACAGCAAGCGCCTCTGGAAAAGCACACAGTAGTTCAATGATCATCTGTCGATGTAATCTGGGAACGACTTCCTAATCGTGTGGGCTTGCACAAAATGCTTAATATGTTAAGAATATTAGCTCAATGAAAATATTAAGTGTTTACGGTATCCGTTAACAAAAAGTATATAAATCAAGACGATATAATTTCGATATGTCGTCAACCAACTCCCAGGCACCCGTGGTGGTTTGTCTCACATATTAACTAAATATATTGGTTGCTGAGCTTAGACCCACAATCGATCAATTTAAGCTCGGAATTATTTTATTGGCAAGGGGAATAAATGGATGCAAAATAACTCTTTTTTTGCACTCACTTGAAGAAAACTTATCCCAGTCATCTCTGTGCTGCTCGTAGCAAGTATAGGAGGCAGTGGCGATGACGTCATTTCCCTCCGCCATCGCTTCTCTACACGGGGATACACCTCTGTAAAAATTAAAAAATAATTATTGCAGTGTATCAAATTGGCAAATGGCTTCTTCTTTGAAATGCGGAAAACGTTTGAAAAATCTCGTAAAAATATACACGATATTTTATTTCAAAACAAGGAACCTGAATACAGCTCGTCACATCCGAATTTTCTCGGTAGGCCATTGGAAAATAACGTATAAACTCAACATTGCCACAATCAAGGTTAAACACTCTGGAATGACGAAATAATAGTGTAATGTAGATTAAATAATGTTCGAGCTAGATCGAAGTTAAAAAATCATAATAAATTACTCAAAATATGGGTCATCCTCCAGTTATATCATTAATTTCAAACAAATATCACGACATATACGTATGAATAATTTACAATTACATTCTCAAATCTCGTCAATATCACATCATCGATTGACTTGCAAACGAAGCACTTACGCCGCGGACGAGGCAGCGGCGGCGGCGGCGATCAGAAGCATCAGAGCTCGCGTCATCTTTTCTCTGTGGTCGTGGCAGCGGTGCGATGGCAGGTCGTGGCAGCGGTGCGATGGGCAGCGGTGCGATGGCAGGTCGTCAGAGCAGCAGTGCGATGGCAGGTCGTGGCAGCGGTGCGATGGCAGGTCGTGGCAGCGGTGCGATGGCAGGTCAGAGCAGCAGTGCGATGGCAGGTCGTGGCAGCGGTGCGATGGCAGGCCGTGGCAGCGGTGCGATGGCAGGTCGTGCGTAGGCAGGCAAGTACGGCTTGATCCTGATGCGGGGTGGGCATGTGGTGGCCATGTTATAGGCTTTGGATATATTGGGACAGGTGTTAAGAAATGCGTCAGACGATGTGATTAATGATAGATTGTGCACACATGCGTGCAGAATCATCATCAATTTTGATGTTTATAAATATACAAAGCTAAAATCTGAAGGATAGAATGGACAGAGTGAATTTCGGAAACTTGTGTTCCCGAATATGACTTGATGTCTTTTCGATGATTTCTTTTCTTTGGGCAAAATATATCATAACTATTTTTTCGAATATAAAAAACTCCATACTGTTGTAAAATCTGGATTCGGCAGATGATAGCATATAGAACAATATTTATTGTCTACAAGACCGATGCCAATTAATAATAAATATTCTTATGGCTAATAATTTTCTAAATTTTTATCTCAATTTCACTCAGATGGTGTGAAAGATTGGACCACTAAGAAGGCGAATGATGTGTACTGCGTCAAAAACAATTGCAATTAGTTAATTTAAGCAGTCGAATAAAATTAATTTATTGGTTACATTACAGTTCCGGTGCTCGGTACTTAGACATCTTTTGCTTATTCGACAAGTCGCAAATTACGAAATACTACCATTGAGTATTGCATTGTTAATAATTTGTGAAGTGGTTAATACTGCAGGATCAAAGTTGCAAGTTATTTAACATTCCTTAGAAACTGAAGCTGCGATGACAATAGGTGAATTAAAAACTTTATGACTGAAGTCATTCATAAAATGAGCTGCATTCTAATAAAAAATTGTCCACACTCACGGGTCATCATTTCCATGTCACCATGATCATCGTTTGAGTCATCATTCCATAATTCCATGGGTCCCATGTCGGTCGGCAATGACTCGTTAAAGCCCTTGTAAAACATCATAGCTCTCACTAATAAGAATAATTACATCTTATACTCATCTGATGCAAGAATTCACCTAAATCATTTTTCTGACAATAACTTAAGAAATTTACTAAATTTTATTTATTGACAGAATTATATTTAAAAATATTGTCTCCTCATGAAATAGATCAAGGATTTTTCCGTGACTGTACACGAAATTTAATCTCTAAACTTTCGCCGCATATTACATCTTTGTCGTACAGTATACGAGCGCCTCAACCGGATCGTCTGAGAGGGCAAGAATACCACGTAGATTAAATTCCAGGATATTCTTTTTTTCTTTTGCAGAATTACCAGTGAAGCAAAAGACTGGCATTCATAGCTGCGTCGTCGCAGAGAGATGTTCATTTTACGAGCCTCAGGCGCGTTGGTCCAAGTGCAGCAAGCTAACAAAATGACAGCACACGATAAATCTTGAGGTCTGATAAATGATGTTAATGATGTGTACATTTCATTCAATGATCTCATTTATTTTTTCTATTGTAGAATTATAAATGAACCAAGGGAACTGACATGCTTAGCTGCGTATAGACACGGAGCGACTTTTCATTTTACGAGCCTCAGGCGTGTTGGTCCAAGTGCTGCAAGCTAACAAAACGACAGCAGTCGATTAATCTTGAGTTCTGATTAATTATGTTGGTGATGAGTAAATTCTATTGCAGAATTATAAATGAAGCAAAAGGACTGACATGCTTAGCTGCGTCGTCGCAGTGAGATATGCATTTTACGAGCATCAGGCGTGTTGGGCCACGTGCAGCGAACTAAAAAAATGACAGCACACGATAAATCTTGAGGTCTGATAAATTATGTTAATGATGACGGCATCTGATATGATCATTTGCAAAGTAATCAAAAAGAAGAGAGGCTTTGTTTTGCGATTACGCTTGTTTTGAAAAATATATATATATATTTATTACGAGGTGGTAGCCGGTTGGTTGCATGTGATGTTGGTCCTGCAAAGAGCCAGAGAAAATATGACATCACTTCTTCATAATCAACATTGAAAACTACTCGACTTCATTATTCGACTGTTATGATGAATTAAGATGAATTATGGAATTCTCGTGGTTTAAAGATCCAATTTGGAATGGTGTGGTACCTATGCCTGGCAAATTTTAACTGTGTGACTAGACCGCAACAAATTCAATTGCGTGATAAATCAGCACTAGTTATTAAGGCGAGATGAGCAAAACTCATAGTGATGATTGTGTATCGGGCCGAGAAGTATGCGCAGGGAGTTTTCTCGGGAAGCAGCGGATTGCTGGTAAGCAGCCTATCTTTGCCTGACCTACTACACTTTGTAATGTCCATATATATCTGTATTTAATGTCTATTTATTGTCTGTACTCGTAAACCTATACGCATTTAGTTTATAGTCTTATGTTGTGGCTGCGGATGCTCCATGAAATTTAAATATATCGTGTGGTCTTTGAAGATTCCCTGATCCATTGCGATTCATCCTCGTACGTTAGGGCCCGCTTGCAGAGACCCAGTAACTTTGTGTGTGGAGCGTAGTTCTCCCGCTACAATATCGCCGAATTATGAGATAAGCATCGAATATATTTAACCCTCGCAAAGTTCTTTGATAATGAAAAAATTAACTCTGGACGTTAGTGTCCTAAAATATTATGCAATATTGTAGCGGGAGTGACATAGGAAGAAAATTTCAGCGCTTTGATGAAGCGCTCGATACGTTGGTCAGATACGTTGGAGGTTGTACGTCTGTCAGATGTGAGTTTGAGAATGTGGTCAGATACGCATAAGACTGTGAGTGTGGTCAGTGCAATGAATTTCAGTTTAAGGAATCCTGTAGCACATGTTCTGGCAACATCAACCAAAGTATTGGAAGGACTTGTTTTACGGTTTGGTCATTCGTTGATCCTTACTGAAGACAGCCGCTTGTGTTCTTGCTCTTGGTAAGTGTCTAGGTGCTCTGATTTGAAATAGAATAACTGCGAGAATATGTTTAAATTATTGTTGTACTTGTCTGGTTATTGTGTTTAATTAATTTAGTTAAATGGGTGTTTATTTGTAGGAGAACTTCCCTCCTCTCTTCTGCTGTTCTACCTAATAAACTTGGAACCTGGACAAATCATAATAACCCTAACACCCACTGGAAGTTACCGTCAATGAATCAATTAACCCACCCGTTTGAACCTGAACCAATAGGAACATTAGTCAGCTACGGCGAAGGTTGTGCGTCTGTCAGATACATTGAAGGTGGAAAGTTTGGCCAGATACGTTGAAGGTCAGGAGTGTTCTCATCTATGTTGAAGGTTGCGAGTGTGGTCAGATATGGTATAGTATAGTAACTTCGGCATTGAAGAATAGGCCTGGATAGGCCTGTCGCCGATTCTTGTACTTTTCTTGACTAGACTGGCCTTTTGATAAAATCTTTTCAACAGACGGTAGATTTAAAATCGATTCTTTTCGGTTGTTCCGTAGGATACGAGGCATTTTAAGACTGAACATATGCTCATGCATGGCCTTGTCTAGTCTGTTCTTAAACGTGTTCATACTCGGAGCGTCAACAATATCTTCAGGGAGTCTGTTCCACATGTCAGTGACTCGAAGCGGGAAGAAATGTTGTTGCGTGGATAAGTTGTACAGCAGTTTTTTTTAGTTTATAGCTGTGGCCCCTGATGTTGGTTCTTGTTTCAAATTCTAGTAATCCTTCTGGGACCTTGTACAAACCATGATTATACTTGTATACTTCAATGAGGTCACCACGCAGGCGACTATAACGGAGACTGGAAAGCTTCATAATCTTCAATCTTTCTTCATAAGACTTGCCCTTTAAGCCTGGAATTATCCTTGTTGCACGTCTTTGAACGCTCTCAACTAAATTTTTGTCCTTTTCAAGTCTCGGTGACCACGCGACGTTTCCAAACTCAAGGTTCGGGCGCACGACAGAGGTGAACAACAGCTTCGTCATTTCTATATCTAAGTACTCGTAGGAGCGTCTGATTAGCCCAAGCAGTTTATTGAATGTATTAACTTGCGTTTCAATATGCCTATAAAATTTTAGCTCCTTGTCGACACAAACTCTAAGATCTTTTTCCACGCAAGACTTCTCAATCATAACCCTCTCGTTGCAACCGTGTCTTCTCATGCTGTAAGCTTGCTGTTCATTGTTCTTGCCGAGGTGATGTACTATACACTTGTCAGCATTGAAACGCAGCTGCCACGCATCAGCTCTGTCAACTAAACTATCAAGATAATTTTACAGTTGCCTTTTATTTGACGCATCCTTAACTGTACTATAAACTTTTGTCTCATCGGCATACATGGAGCACACGCTTGACACTACTTCTGGTAGATCATTTATATAAGCGACAAACAAAAAAGGCCCAAGAACGCTTCCTTGCGGTACGCCACTGCGCACAGTTACCCAGTCTGATACGGTTCCGTTAATGACACGTTGTCTTCTGCCTCCTGGGAAATCACCTTACACACAACACTTGTGAGACTTACAGGATATGTTCAAGGTTGTGAGTGTGATCAGATATTTAGAAGGTTGTGAGTGTGGTTAGATATTTTGAAGGTTGTGAGTGTGGTTAGATATTTTGAAGGTTGTGAGTGTGAAGTCCACACTCACAACCTTCACAACCACCACACTCACTCTGATGGTTGTGAGTGTGATCAGATATGTAGAAGGTTGTGAGTGTGGTCAGATATTTTGAAGGTTGTGAGTGTGGAGTCCACACTCACAACCTTCACAACCACCACACTCACTCTGATGGTTGTGAGTGTGGTCAAATACGTTGAAGGTTGCGATGATGGTCAGATACGTTTATGGTTGTGAGTGTGGTCAGATATGTTTAAGGTTGTTAAGTGTGTTCAGATACGTAAACGTTTTGAGAGTTATCAGATGCGTTGAAAGCTGTGCGTCTTTCAGGTACGATGAAGGTTCTCATCTTGTTAAAGCATTGATATATGTTCATCTGCGAGGCGCTATACATCGAAGTTCAATACTACGGGTCATTAGCATTGGTGGCTACACGTTTTTATAGATAAATTCATTCCTGTTGTTCCATTAAAATGCAATAAAAATTGTTCAAAAGGTAAGAACCATTGCAGGCATTGCAAATCTTAAATATGTTGGACAATAAACAGATTCATTTGGTTTTAAATTAAAATTTCTCATTAAAGGTAATCTTCTGGAATTACGCGAAACAAAATTTATATTCAGACATTTAATATTCCGACCCTTAGCTATTAAGCTAACTATTAATGTTACCGAAGCAACAAAGATAGTGCAAAATGAATTTTAAATTAATTTTTCCATAATTCAATTAACTAACTCAATTCTTCTCATAAGTAACATTACGAATAGTTTCACCGATAGCTTTACTCCTGCCAATTATCAAGATTAAAGGTTTAGATAAATCATATTAAATTAAGTTTTCTTAAATGCAAGCGTAGACAGCGTGCACGGTATGAGGAGAGAGTGATAGAAGCATGCAGCCAGACGTAGGATGGCCAACATTGGACTGAGGCAAGAACGAGTAAGTGGATTTTTCAATCTGCTGACGCCCGGACCCATACTTTAAAAAAAAAAAAACGAGATCGTTAGTTCATCAGCCAATCATCGACGGTCTTTCAAGATAAATCCACCAATCATAGACAAGAAAATAGAGCGTAAGTACTTACGTTCACTTAGCGAATTTTGAAATTATGGCCCCCGGACGCGATGCTGAGTCCAGAGACCGCTACTTCAGAGACACCGCTACAGCACCGCCCCGTCACATATCGTCACCACTTGCAGGTCGCGTGCTCAGGGTACAACCGGTTACCTGCTTCATGCTGCCGACTTATACTTAATAAAAGTCGTTAATAAGTATTATTAGTTGTAATTTATTTATCATCCAAGATGAGCTAAAAATTAGCACATTAAATCAATATACTATTTGAATTTAACAGTTTGCCGCAGGGGGCATGTTGGATACGTCGGTCTGCTGTTGCAAATCATTGCCAACTATCGCAAGATTAGTAAGCATATTATTTTTCTTCGTCGTCCACCCAGTTAGATACAAAATCATAGTTTAAGGTCCGGGTTATCATAATGACTCTAACCATTGCCTGAACAAATATTTGGTCAGTAGTAGTTTAGCGTTCAATGTTTTTACAAAATTATTCAGGACTTAAGAAAATATTGAGATTGAACGATCGTACCTCGATCCATACGTAATATTCTTATTTGCCGTATTTCATTCAAGGCATAAGGATTTAGAATTAATACTAACTGATGCTTTTCAACCTGATTTTCGACATCGAAATATGTTCGAATGACTTGATAAACCCAATTCATATTTGCACGAGAATAAATAGGTTCAAAATTCATATTGCTTGAATTATCTCCATATATTATCAAGAATTGTAAACAAAAATACGTCGCAATTGTAACGAAACGTATATATTATTGGTTTCATTTTCATTCACGAGCAATTAATGAACGATGATATAATTTAATAAATTCTGAAATTGATGTATCCTCCTTTTTTAATGTGTTGATCTTGAAAGCATGTAAGCCCATTAATTTATTAGGGCATAAATGAGATTTGCAATTCGATAATCAAGGTTCCAAGGTAAAAATTTAATTTAGTTCTTTTTACATAAACTTGGCATAAAAATTATAAGTAGAAAAATATGTTACTCAAGAAACGTTTGAACATATAGGCTGAGAAAAATATTCACATATCCATGAATATATCAATAAATTGTGGTGTGACAACGTTGGTTCAACGCTGGAAAATAGATCAATCTTCAACGTACCAAGATCGACGTTGCTTCAACGTTGAAATTAAGTTGTATTACGTCTCTTCGAGTGTTGGTCACATTGCGATATTGATTCAAGGCCTAATTTTGATTGATCAACATTTCATTCTGAAATTCAGATGATATATTCGTCGTTTTAACGTTGTTTCAACGTTAGATGCCTGCTGGGTAGGCTGCTATGCTCTATATAGCAGGGGTCTCCAAACTTTTTTCACCAAGGGCCATTAGCAAGCTTTCTGAAACCTTCACGGGCCGGAGAAGTTCATGGGCGGAGGGGGGAGTTGCACAAATTACGAATAAATGTGGTAGTCAAAATTATCGCACGAATAAATATTTCATTCTGAACTTACGTGTTACGGAGCAACTGAACACAATCTTTCGTCGCTTAGTCGTTGCTTAATCTTAGAGCCTAATCATTTATTGGGGTGATATGCACGGCTCTTATATACTTAAGTTTCTCGCTCAAACTTTTCACAACATGGAAAGTGCGTGAAACAGTTCCTCATCAACTGGGTCTCAAACAAAAACAGCTTGTGTCGAAACTCATTCACTTGGGGAAACATGTCGCAAATGTGCGCTGTTTTGTCTTGCAACCTAAGATTAAACTCATTCATGTGTGTGGTCAGATCCACAGGAAAAGATAATTTTCAAAGCCATTCGTCGTGTGTGAGTAGCGGCTGGGGTCGATTCTTTTCCTTCAGGAAAATTTCGATTTCTGCTCGGAGTTCAAAGAATCGTGACAACACCTAACCACAGACACCAGTCACGCCCATTTACTGTTTTTAGTTCATGAGTAACCAGAAATAAATGCCACGCTCGATTTTTGTACACATTATGTTGAAATACGAGATATCCTGGGCGGGCCGGATGGAACCTATAGCCGCGGGCCGGATCCGGCCCGCGGGCCGTAGTTTGGAGACCTCTGCTCTATAGTGAGCTCACACACGCAAAGATATGTGAGTAAGGTGTGAAGCTGGCCTTCGGCATGCGTCCACATTTGGCTAGCTGTCAGTAAAATTTGCTAGGACCTAACCGGCGCACTGAGTACCTAATTTGAGGCTTGAGGGTGGGTTGTGTCATGCGTTAATAAGAGAATCATATAGTTTTTTAGATTGTTGACAAAACTTTTTTAGGGATGGGTACTTAAAGGGGTTTTCTGATTTATTGTCCAGCAAGTGTTCTCATTCACTGCTTTAGCTTTCTCGCATTCCAATGTCAAAGACTGTAATTTGTTCACAAACCATTTTAACTATTTATTAATTACACGTGTTGTAAATATATTGCCTTCATTTAATATCCCACTTCATCCTAAGTATTCCATGAATAGACAATTGGAGCGACTGTACAACAACTATCCGGACTTCGATCTGGCTAGCGTGACAGTAGGACCTATCCGTACTTAGGAGGTGATGCAACTGGTAACGTCGATTACTGATCTTAGTTCATCACAAATATTACAATCATCTAATCTATTACTGATATTGTCAACAAGGTGCACCATTCTATTAGTGATATTGTCAACATTCTCTGCACCATTCTAAATTGGCGCTTTAAATAGAGCAGTGCAAATAACATTATTTCACCGAAATATTATGCATTGATGATGTTCTCATAGCTTTTCTCAGGAAAAATTACATTATTGAGGAAACACCATGAATATAATATAGGAATATGAAAATCCCTTGCACGAAGAGTGCGAGCGAGTTCATCCAGTCTTGTTCCGTGTCAGTAGATTTCCCTCCATTGGGTGAGCGGATTAGGGAACGGCAGCCTTGAGGCACACGAAGAGCCGGAGAAACTGCGACGTAAAATTTAAATCATGAGCTTTTATAGTCAGGCACGTTTAAAGTTTGATATGATCTATTAATCTGCTTGAATTATCTCTCGTGATAGCTAATTTCTTTATTTTTAATGTTTGTGATATGTAGAACAAAAAGTTGTTGCGCGAGTTTGATAAGATAATAAACACATTTGGTAGGACTCACGTTCAAATATTTCATGGTGGAGCTTTTGCACTTCGGGTAAGCCTTTGCGAAGTTGGGATCAGTGCTGCATTGGTTATTCAGCGCAAGTGTCTGGAAAGCCGCATCGTCCAATGTGTTGCCGGGTTTCAGCTGTTGAGGAAAGAAGGGTATGGAAATAACTATTAGAATAGAAAAAATAAGCAGCAGATACGCTCATTTTTGGGGGTTGGGGATTTCTTTCTTTTGCAAAAAATTACAATAAGTTAGTACTTTAAGAAAAATAAACAAGTACTAAATGTTTTGCGGGGTGAAATTTGAGAGACCGCAAGAATTGTGGGCTCCCTGGATCGGGAGATTTTGAAAAAAATCGTATTCTTCATGCAAACAAGCAAACTTGTATGGTCAAGAGTTATGCTTTACAAAGTAAACTACATCTATAATATCCCATTGCAGCTCACTGATAATGTTTAAGAAAACGCTACATATATAAATTCAGCGGTCAAAAATCGGGATTGAACACACCGTAAAAATGCAGATTGGGTTCTAAATTAGCACCTGGGCGAAATTGTTCATGTCTATACCAATGCTAAAGTAATTGCACGATTTGTTCAGTGCGCCAGGATGCCGAAATACTCACGAGCTTGAGTGCTTGCAATGAGCACTTGGAGAAATTGAACACAAGCGGATCACACGTTGCTGCATCGTACCCAGTCACACTTGTAAAGTTGGAGCATTTTGAAACTGTTTGCGAAAAAATGAAGTCGATGGGTTTGGTATTGCTATCATCTACACATTCATGAATAAGCACAAAATTACAACCATCTACAGTTTCTACACAATGATGAAAAATCACAGGCTGAATCTCAACAAAGATCTTGCAAGGCAAAACCGACGCTCACAAATCATCAGTAACTTTAAAATTGAGGACAATAAATCTTGAGCACCACTGATATGCCAATCAATTCGTCATTAGAAGCTGCCAATCGCCAATGAAGCTGCTTGTTAGAAGTCTCCAGCAATACATACCGATTGGAAATCAAAATTTAATGTTGAGAAAATGAAATTTAAATCTGTTCATTTCAGTTTGCACAAAGCGTCTATGGAAATTACGTAGTTTTTGAATGATCATCTGTCGATGTCATGTTGAAACGAGTTTCTATTCGTATAGGCTCGCTTAAAATGCTTAATAGGTGTAGGAAATTAGCTCAATAAAAATATTAAGTGTGTATGGCATCCGTTAACAAGAAGTAGATAAATCCAAAAGATGTAAATTTCAATATGTTGTCAACTTACTCCCACATAGTCGAGGTGGTTTGCCTCACATATTAAATTAAAGTATTGGTTGTTGAGCTTAGACACACAATCGATCAATAAAGGTTGGAATTATGTTAATAGTAATAAGAACAAATATATGCAAATTAACTAACTCCTTTTGAACTCACTTGAAGAAAACTTGTCCCAGTCCGTTTTGTACTGCAGATAGCAATTATTGGAGCCCACGCTATGCGTAACGCCGAGGTATCCCGCATTCACAGCATCTCTACAAGGAGATGCACCTCTGCAAAAAATTTCAAAATAATAATTTCAGTGTATGAAATTAGCAAGGGCCTTCATCTATGAAATGTGGAAAACGTTTGAAAAATTTTGACGTTTGAAAATTGGAAAACGTTTGAAATGTGGAAAACGTTTGAAAATATACACGATATTATATTTCAAAACAACTGCCTGAATACAGCTCTTCACATTCTAATTTTATCGTTAAACCATCAGGAAATAACGTATAAACGTTGCAATGATCAAGGTTCAGACACTCAGGTATGATGAAGCAATAATACAATCTAAATTAAATAATTTTCGCGCTATATCGAAATTGCAAAATCACAGTCTATTACTCTAAATATGGGTCATTCTTCAGTGAAATCGTTAATTTAAATCAAATATAACACAATCAAAATAATTACGACATATATGAATTAGTAACAATTACGTTCTCAAATCTTGTCAATATCACATCGTCGATTGACTTGCAAACGAATCACTTACGCCGCGGACGAGACAGCGGCGGCGGCGATCAGAAGCATCAGAGCTCGCGTCATCTTTTCTCTGTGGTCGTGGCAGCGGTGCGATGGCAGGTCGTGGCAGCGGTGCGATGGCAGGTCGTGGCAGCGGTGCGATATGATTCGAATAAAATTAATAATTCGGTTACATTACAGTTCCAGTGCTCGATGCTTGCACATCTTTTCTTAATAAGACAAGTTGCAAATTATTAAATACTACCATTAAGTTATGCATTGGTAATAATTTGTAAAGTGACTAATACTGCAGGTTCAAAGGTGCAAGTTATTTAACATTTCTCATTCAAGAACAGAAGCTTCGATGACAGTAGGAAAATTAAAAACTCCATAACTTAAGTTATCATAATATAAGCTGCATTATAATTAAAAATGTCTTCACACTCACGAGTCATCATTTGTCAACATTTGCATATCACCACGATCATCATTTGCGTCATCATCCCGTAATTCTATGGGTCACATGTCGGTCGACAACGATTCGTTAAATCACTTGTAAAATATCATAGCTCTCACTTTCGAAATGAATATAATTACATCTTATACTCGTGTGATTCAAGAATTCACCTGAAGCATTTTTCTGATTATAACTAAAAACATCGACTAAATTTTATTTATTGACAGAATTATATGTAACAAATATTGTCTCGTCACGAATTGAACAAGGATTTTTCCGTGACCTTATGTACACGAAATTTAATCTCTAAACTCTCGCCACATATTACATTCTAGTCGTACAGTACGAGCGCCTCAGCCAAACAGTCTGCAAGGGCAAAAATACGACTTGCATTGAATTCCAAGATCTCCCATGTTTTTTCTATTTCGGAATTATAAGAAAAGCAAAGGGGCTGACATGCTTAGCTGCGTTGTTCCAGAGCGACGTTCATTTTACGAGCCTCAGGCGTGTTGGTCCAAGTGCTGCAAGCTAACAAAATGACAGCAGTCGATCAACATTGAGATCTGATTAATGATGTTAGTCATGTGTAAATTCTATTGCAGAATTTTAAATGAAGCAATCGTTTTGATATGCTTAGCTGCGTAGTCGCCGAGTGACCTTCATTTTTACGAGCCTCAGGCGTGTTGGTCCAAGTGCAGCGAGCTAACAAAACGACAGCAGTCGATCAATCTTGAGGTCTGATAAATGATGTGAAAGATGTCGGCATCTGATATGATCGAATGAAGTGTGATAAAAAATAAGAGATGCTTTGTTTTACGATTATGCATGTTATGAAAAAAAAAACATCAAAACATCACACGGTTGTAGCTGGCTTCAGGTGAAATTGGTTTTGTAAAGATCCTGAGAAAATATGACGTTACTTGATTAAAGTCAACATGGCGAAAAACTTCATTATTTGAAAATTGTGATAAATCTAGATAGGTCTTGGAAATGAAGGTGGTATGACAGATATGTTGAAGGCAATGAGTGAACTCTGATATGTTGAACGTTGTGAGTATGTCAGATACGAATAAAATTGTCAGTGTGGTCAGATAGGTTGAAGGTTGTGAGTGTGATCAGATTTGTTGAAGGTTGTGATTGTGGTCGGATATAAGAAGAATAACAAAAAAAAAAGAATTTTTTTTTTTGTGATCTTCTTCTTAAGAAAAATCACCAAAAAAGATGTACCGGATTTGTGTCGGGGAAGATGTCCTCAGTTATAAATAAGTCAAGGGAAAGGCCCGGAAACTCTTACGCTTCTTTGCAGTAGGGACTACCAGCGTGCAAACGGCAAAACATCAGAGATTCCTACAACGACTCTATAAGCGCACCGAATGACTCGATTGTCTTTTTAGTATAGTAGTATAGTATAGTATCTTCGATATTGAAGAATAGGCCTGGATAGGCCTGTCGCCGATTCTTGTACTTTTCTTGACTAGACTGGCCTTTTGATCAAATATTTTCAACGGACGATAGGTTTAATATCAGACGGTAGGTTCGAAATAAATATTTTAAAATAAAATTCTAGATTTCAGTTGTTCCTTAGGATACGAGGCATTTGAAGACTAAACATATGCTCCTGCATGGCCTTGTCTAGTCTGTTCTTGAACGCGTTCACACTAGGAGCGTCAATAGTGGCTAACTATCTGCCATTTTTTTCTTTTTCTATCTCATGTGCATTATGCATGGCATTATTCCTCTAAGTGAAGTTTGAGTCTGCTTAATCATGCCATTCCGGTGGTTGTGTATCAGTGAAGCAAATAGCCAATTCTTAAATAGTTTTCTTGGTAGAATGATCGTGTGTGACCAGTCGTCATGATAAAATTCGGATTGAAAAATTTGAATCAGCTGCTGTGCTGATACGGATGTGCCGTTGTGCTGAAATCAGGAATTGTCAGTTGATCAGGATTTAATTGCGACGATTCACTTGTTTGTTCCTTCTAGAATGTATGATAACCCATTGTTCTTTCTAACGCAGGTTTAGTAAATTGGGTCTCTGAATTAATCTACTTCCATTTTTAGTGCATTTAGTGAGCCATCACGCAAACGTGAGTAGCCAATATTTGTGGTTACTCGCTCAAAATTTTTGTTAAATTGCGACAGTGATAAAAGGAGGCCAGTTTTTTGCTCAAGTTAAAGCGAGGCCAATAATATTTGAGATTACTGGTAGTAGTTACATATTTATGCAACTAATTCCTCATGCTCTAAGATATGTGCTTCAATTAGCCTAACCTGTTACCTATCATGAGGTTTGTCATCTATCTCTGCCCAAGATTCTAACTTATTCTGCTGATGTTGACATTGAGAATATTCCAATTCAAATGAGAATCAATGTCAAATTTTTTTCTTGAATATCTTGATTCCCAGTCTCTGAAGCGCAACTTATTCAATCAGAGACTTGAATCAAGTTGTAGAATGCTCGTTTGTCATATTCATTTAGTGTTGAGAGTAATTTCAGTTTTCTATTTTATATCTTCTTGATGCAGTAGTGTAATCCGAATGCAGTTAACCATGCCTCTTTGAAAGTCTTTAAAACACAATTATTAATTACGTTTCAGTTCGAATTCTGACTAAGTTCTGTTTTTAATGCAAGCCTATATGTGCAGGATTTTTACGCTGACAAGACACAAGTAAATGTTCAAAAGCTACGACATCAATAACCCTTGCCACAGCATTACAACCCTCAACCAACCACCTAGTACAAGGAAAGAAATGCTGCACTCCCGCTACCACGGCTAGTACGTCCTAGTAACAATTTTTGAATTGGCCCATGATGGCCCAAGGTGGCATAACAATATTGACCACATGTGGAAGTGACATATGGCAGTCACATGGTTTTTGTGAAAATTTTGCCCAGCTAAGCCATGTAGAAATCACACGATTTCTACATAGAGCCAACAAAGCTTCCACTTGACAAAACCATGTGCCTGTCACATTTGGGCTACATGGTTGTCTTAAATTGGCCCAACATGGTTCTATTCATGGGCCTATATTTCCATCATACGTCAAAACCCTCTCCGTTTTGCATAGCTGCCACATGACGGCCGCATGCTGGGGCAATCAGGTTTCTATCGAGGGCCCATGCGTCAAGAACATGGGTAAACCATGTTCATACATACATACCATACCTGTAATGTACACGCGGCCTTTCATCCTGGGCCCAGCTGCTTCCAGTAAGGGCCAAAAATTAGGCGTCAAGCACCAGGCGACAACACGACCATTTTGAAGTCACTCGTGTAGATCTGGCGAGCTATAATTGTCTGGAACCTTATGCATGAGCTTTGAGTTCATACACTGAATGAGTCATACTCTAAATTTCACAGTTGAGATTTAAATTCACAATGAAAAGCTGCCATTCGTTCTGATCCAGGGACCAACACAATTTATTTCGTTAGAATAAATGATGGAGTTTTCAATTTAATTTTGGTGTTCTGATTTTATATCATACTCAACAGGCTCATGATGTCGTCTATACAATGATAGCGTCGAGAGGCGTGCAATAACGGTTATTAGGTAGAGAATTGACACTTTAATAGCGTCGAGAGGCGTGCAATAAAGGTTGTTTGGTAGAGAATTGATAACAGAGTCGAGAGGTATGCAATATAACGATTGTGTACAATATAACGAATTATCACTTACAGCGTCGAGATGATCTACGTCCAATGATCTATGTTCTTTATAAACACACTTAAATATCCATATTTTACAGCATCAAACCAGACAAAATGAAACTAGAATACAGCTGAAAGTATAGCTAATTCAAGCTAATCTCTTTGTTGATGTCGTACGCTGTTGTTGCTTGAGAGTGTTATGACATCATGACAGCTTCTGTATGACAAGACGAGATTGCGATTGGAGAATGACAGTGATATTGTATTAAAATTATATCTAAAATTTAAATTATGCATCTCTATATGAGGTTTCGATTCAGTCCCGCATTTCACAAATATATACAAGATTATTTCAATTCATGTCATTTTTTAACTAGAGTAAATAAAATTATTTTCAGGACTCTCTAACATTATTTTAAGCATATCATTTAAAACTTACCAACGATACACTGATGAGCTTTCAACGCCTTGAATGTTGGTTTTTATTCCTTTCTTCTAAACTGAATTCCAGGGCCAGGTTCTTGCGGACGGACATGACGAGCACAATTGCGCCTTTTTATCCATAAATGAGAAAATGCGCTAAAAAGGAATAGTTCGGAACTTAAATCATAACGGCAATAGTTCTAATCGCAGTCGTAGAGAAGGCATTGCAAATCCAAGAGTTATAAGAACAGAAATTTAACGAATGTGGGGAACTGGAAGAAACCTTAAGGAAGTGCGGAAAAGAGATGAGAAAACAACGGGCGATTCCTTGGCGACGCGCACGCTATGCGTGGTATTTTTTTTTAATTGGGGTTAAGACTTGTGGCGACAGAAGCGCCCACCAGCCTTATCTCTGTCAGAATACGCGTGGTATTGTAAACAAAGTTAGCGACGAGGAGTCGGAGACATATTGCGAGGCAACAACGGGAAAAAAATGAATGAGGGACGATTTTACGGGAAGTAAAGCGTATAAAATTATGCGATAGAATTATGTTTGTAAAACGTTTAAAGTAAAGACAGAAATAAATTAAAGTCGCTGGGGACTTAATTTTTAGTGATTC